AATCATGAGTTTGTGGTTACTTATACGAATTTTTACTCAATTTTGAACCACAGAGAGTTCGGAGTTATTTTTTCGATTGATACTTAATTAAGGTCTCGGTAAAGGAAAACGAGGTGCCCACAGAAAAAAATTCTAGTCGCGCGAGTATTTTCGCTACAAAGGCAAGTTATATATCAAATTAAAGCTAAAAGACTAAATTACCTTATAAAAGACTTTATTTCATCGAATTTCAAAAGGCGCTTAAGTTTTTTGCTCTCGAACTCAGAGGTATCGAGTTTACTGCTGAAGCTCCAGCCCTTTCGCGTTGTTAAATATTCGCTTCCTTTTTATTGCATCTGATTGACAGATAAAAGACCTAACAAAGGGTGTGAGGAAATTTGCATATGTCTCGTATTAGCGGAATTATTGCATTTCAAACTAAAAAGTCGAATCTCGAGCGCAATTTACGCCAAGAACCTGACATAAAATGAGTTACAAAGGGAAATCGGAAAATTCCTCACACCCTTTTTGAGTCTATATCATTATCCATCATATCTGAAAGTTTCAAAGCTATAGCTTAAAACCTGTCCCGACTGGAGGTTGGAGAATTTTGATTTTTGCGTCTAAAATAGAGTGAGAGAAAATCAGCTCTAAAGATTTAGCGCGAGGTCCACGATTGGCTGGTTAGCTCAGAAAAGGCTCATTTTAGAAGGGTAAAGAGCACTTTCTGATTTTCTTTTTCTGCCAAAATAAAATTTAGGACTCCCTCATGCCAAAAATCCAAAGAAAGCAAAATCGAGCAATGTACTAAAATTTTTATTTACCGAGACCTTAATTATGGAGTTCACTTTTGTGGAGTAAAGAAACCGTTGCTTCACTCCTCCTGAGTTGCGACCATTGTTTCATACACCTTCCATTGACAAATGGTACCCTTTCACATACCTAGTTTACAACTTTCCCTTTCTTTTAACTGCTACAAAGCACTGTCTTACGTTTTCTCTAATTTTCACGGCCATAAAATGCATCTGTTAGCTCTTTTGGGCCTTTCTCCGCCCAAAATGACAGATTTTCCTACACTTTCATTTACCTCCACTAGTGAATTCCTCACCCGTTCATATACCTGGGCCTAGTTATACAAAGCTTGGTTAAGATAAACCAGGGTTAGTGCAAAATTTGAATCTAGAGTGACAGTTTAAAAAGAAGATTCAGTTTAATTCTTTTTTTTCTACAATATGATGAGTTAATGATCTCAAAGGAATAGAGAAAATTATCCTAGGAAATGCTTTGGAATAAAAGAAAAAGAAACTCAGATTATTAAGCCTGAGGAAAGGAGTTTAACTCCTACAGGAATACTTGTGTACAGCAATATGGTAGTCTCACACGCAGACGTTCGTAAGGCAGGAACACTTGACAAAGCCCCCCAGAAAGTCTAAGTGGGAGGCTCCCTAAAGACTTAACATCATGTAGAATGTTGTGACGTACGTTTTCTTTTTCGTTTGACCTTTCTCTCTGATTTTGCCATGACCGGGGTGATAGCCTTGAAAGCAGCCATAATTTCTCTTCCACTGTCAATGATCTGACAAGCCGGCAGGATGAATCCACTTTCGTCCCCATTATCCGCAGATTCAGATGGCCTTAGTTCTATTGTATACGAGTGAGTGACACCCAACCCGTCGTATGTATAATCCACTGTATCGCCATATGCAGGATCTGAAAAATGCAATACTACTAAGTCAAAATTTACAGTTTAACGAAACACGACAATGCTGAATTTTATCATTGCCATTTTTCAGCATTACTTACAAATGGTTGAATAAATTGTTCCGAACTCAAACACTCTTCCAGATGTGTTTCGTATTGCCTCTGTGCCAACTTTCATCACACGTCTCTGTGGTGGAGTCAAGAGAAATGAAAAAGAGTCAGCCGAAAAATTAAAAAGAAATTTTAGTTAAAGTTTCATTCTCTAACCACCGATGGAAACTGGTTTAGGATAAGCAGCAATTTTAGAGAGTTCGAACGTACAAGTAAGATAACAAGCATAAAATAACAGCCTCTAAGTCTCTCTACTCACCATTAGACTATAATCAGGCGGTGTGCCATTTTTAGACGACCAAGGAGAACACCAAACTTGTGAATAAGAGTGCAGGTCGAAGAAGGAGATTAATTGTGGTGCACTTCTTTTAAGATGAGCTACTACGTTTCGAGTCTCAATCTCACTTAATGGTTCCTCTCCAGGATATGTTTCACAAATCGGGTCACTGATGCAGTCATTCAACCCTGTAAATAACAATAATTTGAATACTTGACTTGCAACTCAACAAAACAACAAAATCCAGAAAAAAATGGAATTGAAACAACTCATTAAACTGCAAACAGCACGTCAACGGCCCGGAGTGTTAATTGGAAGTTCCGAGTTAAAGTTCGCAAAATCCACGCCATGTCGGAGAGATTCTCAGCGTCTAGTCTAAGGCTCATCTCCGCCGCAGTTGTTGAGAATAACGAAGTGGCCAGTTCCTACCAGATGACTTTTAGCCTTGATCCATTTACATGGGGGACATACAAGGCTTGTACTAATAACGCAGCTGAGGCTAGACCCGTCCTTAGCTGAAAAAGCTTACGGAAAGAAATTGGGACGAGAATGATTAGGATACGATTTCTAGCCCCAAGGGAGGGAAAGAAGGGAAACGGTTGTTCTTTTCCTAATCCCTTGCTGCTGAATGTTGGTTTAATACGAAAAGTTTAATACGAAAACGTTAGCTTGGATCTCCTGATTATCAGCCGGTGTTTAGGCTTATACGAGCAAAAGAGGACTGTAAGCGATCTAAGAGTACAAAACTGATCTTAAAAAAACTTATTGCCAGCCTTTTATAACCCCATTAAATTTAGTTCTTTTAATGAACAGAAATAATTGAAAATGCGCACCCCAGTATTCATTTGGAAAGTTCCTGTTTAAGTCCACGCCAACTATTGGACCAGAGCTGGTGAACAGAATTGGTCTGCGGTTTTTTCGCCAAAGACGGTCCACCTGTTGGGAACAAAATCTTTTGAGTTCAAAAAACTGAGTAAGACTTTCAAATTACAGAGCCTGGCGATAACCAGGGGGAGGGGGAAGAGTAACACTTCCTCATATGGCCTAAACGGATATGTGCTGCTAATCAGGTTATGGTTTTCAGCGATTTGGAGATTTCATCAGGGTTTGTAATTTCAACTTTTAGCGTCTTATACATGGTTCTTTTTGCATGGAGGGTCCCCCGAACACCAATCGAACTTCAATACTCTTGACACAAAGCTCTGCTAGTTTCTAGACTGTTTGAGGCTTTTCTTATAGCTCGACAAGAACAAACTGCAAAGGAACAATGCGAAGCAAGGGCTGTGAGATGGGGGAATTCCCTTCTTCATCAGAAAATTAGCAGGCACTTAGATCGCTATTATCATCTTCGTTGTATTTCTTACCTCCATTGTAAAATTGTAGCCATCTACATTATAAACCGGCAGGAAAAACCAGTTAAATGTATTCAGCATGTTTGCTATTCCCTCATCACTTTCTGTGGATTTCAGAAGCTAATATCCAAAGGAAAAACGCAAAAACGTACTAGTTGTAATATAACTGAAGGCTCCTTTTCTTCTGACATGACATTTTATGTAAAAGCATATGAGACTAAGGTGTGATCAAGCAAAGCTGCAACTCTAAGAAGGAATGAACAAATGGATGGATGGCCTGACAAACAGTGAACGAACGAATGAATGAATGAATGAACGAATGCCCACGGGCAAACGAACGGACAAACGAACGAATAAACGAATAAATGAATAGATTAAGGAACGGGTGGACTGATAGGCAAATGGAAGGAAAGATCTTCATTCAAGGTAATCACGACGGCAAGCAACGCTCCTTGGCTCTTGGGCTTCAATTTCATTCCCTGCTAGCAGAGGTCTCTCACGACTCATTTTTGCCTCGCCGTGAGAGACCTCTGCTAGCAGGGAAGAATTTCAGTGCTAACAAGTTAACAGATTTGTGACTAATGATCTCAATGCAAATTTCATCTGTGGTGGCGTTCTTGTCGATCTTAGAAAAAAGACGAAGGGACTCTAAACTTGATCTAAGGGTGGATTTCCACTGTCACGTTATTTTTTTCTTGCGCACATGGGTTAAAATTCAATAGAGGCCTTTCATACATCAACTCTATTTAACGCGCGTAAGCATGTAAAAGTCATTGCGCAACAGTGGAAATCCACCCTAACTCAGAAATAAAGCTACGTAGTAGAATAGGTATATTCTCGTCTACTTACCTGACGTAGCATGTACATACACGTAGCTGGACTAATCCATTCTCTGGCGTGAATTCCGCAAACTATGAAGACTAGACCTCGCTCACGAGCATTATGAATCTTTTGTTTAATCTGAGAAAAGAAGATAAATCCAAACTTGCAAACCAAGGCCGGATTGCTTGAGTTCCGGTGAGCTCTATTTCTGAGTCAACTATGTTCAGTTTATTTGCCACTTCACAAACGAGAAGGGGACTGGAACACCGCAAAGGCCCATGGGACCGTTACCGGTGACGTGCCGGACAGCTATACGGCTGACTTGGCCCAATTTACTTCTCGTTTATTAAGTGGCAAATACTAAACAGGTTGCTGGTCCATTGTCTGCTGCATGTAGCTATCATTACCTTAGCGGCCCCTTGTTCCTTCATCAGGTTCCAACCACCATCAAGTACAATCCTGGGATCCGATGCTTGAGAATAGCTAATGGCTTGCCTATAAGGGGAATGGGTACAATGCGTAGGCACGACGATTTGTGACATCGTTTGAGTGGACAAGCGTCCCTTGTGATTGGTTAATAGCCATCGACCAATCATGAATAATGCTTGTCAGCCAGAAATCGCTGTACCCAGAGATTGTAACCATTCTCCCTAGAGTTTCTTAAGTGGGCAATTGTTGCTTCAAGATTGAATTAATTGTTTGAGTTATTTTCTGGATTCCACTAGCCTTTCCGCTCAATATAAGTACAGCCAAGGTCACACTGAACTCACCTGTATCCCTAACATATTTCGTTTCTCATAAGACTTGCCCAGGTTTATCAACTTCACCAAGTCTGGGTATTCTTTCCCGAGACGAAACAGTTCATCATGGATCTGTAATTGAAACGAAAAAAGTTGCGTCGAGTGAATTCTCATGAAATCTGTTTGAGTCTATTTTTTTAGAGCATCGACTGAATTTTATGAGCTGAACACCATGCATGATAAAGCAGTGTGGCTTTGCTCAGTTTTTTTGCTATGTGTTAGAGGAGCTTATGATTGAGTTTTAGAGGCTTAAGGTGTGGCGATAAGATAGAAAGATTCTAATCGGAGCATTTTTGATACTAAGTTTTTGATTAGAGGTAGGATTGTAAAACAATTTAACCAAAAACAGATCCAAACATCTCTGTTAGGTACAGCTGTCTTGGTCCCATTCTGAGATACAAAATTTCCTTAAAATCCCGGTCAGTCTTTTGGTCACCAAGATACATACATATACATACAATCAATACGAACAACTCTGTGTGCAGAAGACACGTCGCTCCGTCCCTTTGCTTTCGTATCAACCCTTTCAGCTCCAGCAGTCATTATTACCGAAGTACACTCATTGCTTAATCAGTCAGGGCGGTTAAGAGAATTAAGAACATGATCACTAAGGATTAGTTTTTATGATATTTTATCAATGTATTTCAATACTGGGGCTTACAGGGTTAATTAAGGAGGTTTGATTGGATCAGTACCTCATCCACTGTATGATAACAGTTGTCAAAATTATCTTCATCCCGTTCTGCACAGCACAAGCTCTCCTTATCAATCAGCGCTTGTATGTCGTCAATCATTATCTCAAACTCAAGACTTCTTTTTGTTAAATCTGCCTTGAAATCTTCAATAGCATCAGGACTCAAATGAATATGAAACTCCTCCCCCGGGATCAAAGATTCTTTCCATACATCTACCTACATATGATCAAAATATTCAGGAGGGTATATGTCACTTGCAAAATCTATCTACCGTGCGTACTAACAGATAGGTCCGCAATTTGTCCACACCGTATGAAACATTGTAGTCCACTTGCCCTGAGGAACAAGTGACTTCAGCATATACTTTGACAAATCATATCGATGATGAAAGCTCCGATATTCAAGGATAACCAGAAACGGTGAGGGGAAAATCCCGCTTTGTTTGTTTGCTTAATTCTTTCAATGTAAAGAAGGGCACATATTAAATAAAGCAGTAGTGATTTTGAGTGGCCCAACTTTCAGTGACTATTTTAGCCAAAACACAAAAAAACGCCCTATGTTTTGCACTTACATCCTTTCGGCTTTGTAGTAGTTCTCTCATAGATCTCACTTGGTCCTCATTCTGTGGTTCCACCCGTAAAACCTTGTGTCTTAAAAGATGTGTATCTTAGTTACAAAACGATAACGCAAAAAATCGCTTTGCATCACTGAATATCTTGAGATAGTTAGAGTTTATTTAAGAGGGACCTCTCCGTTTCGCGTTGGTGTTGTGCATGGGCGCTTTTTCCGTCCAACCTCCCCCCTCCGCCTCCCCCCTCAAAAAAAACACTTGGAAAAGTAGCATTAAAATTAATTACTACGAAAATCATCATTGTGACATTTTGAAGTAATATTGGTCGAAGTTGCATCAGCGAGATACGGCTCATTTTTTTCTAATTTTTTTTTTGGAGACCCACGGAGAGTATGATCCAGAAACCAGAGTCGAGTTTAACATTTCCCCGAAAATTTTAAAATATCCAAGAAACGAATAATTTGTAATTCAGAGATGCAGTAGACATCACAACTTGTCGTCGGATGTATGATAAGCCGGTAGAAGCGAGCAGAAAATATACCAATGCCCTTAGCAACCCTGCCAGGGATTGAAAGAAGAAAAAAATTTTTTAAGAAACAGATCAAGACAAATTTTCTTCAAAGGAGGATAAAATAAGATTCTTTAAGAAATGTTCGAAATCAAAGATAACACTTCTTCTTGCTCTTTTTTAAGTCTAAAAACTAAAGTTTAATTTTGAGAGGAAATGATTCCCATCTCATTTGCTGTTTGTAACTCCGCTCTCAATACAGGTTTAAATGTTAGATTGCAAATCCTGAATGTATTTCAAGGATACTTTTCACTCTAATACCAATGTATGTAAGGGACTGATTTAGGGCGTTCGCTATCGTTTTAAGGGCAGATTTTCGATTAAATAAACGTTGCATTTTTAATGACATAATGTGGAACCTGTGGGAAAAAACAGCATGTAAACGAAAAGGGGAAAAATTATTTTTGTAGGAATTTTTGCCTTTGTGGACTGTACAATATTGGGATCTCCACTAACACAGGTGTGACTTCGACTCCAATCATGTTCCCCCGTAATGATATAAATAACTTCTTAGCAGCAAAACAAGTATCTTATTGGAGTATTTGTAAACTCCCTTTTATGGGTTGGGTTCATGACTGCTTTGTTGAAGATCATCATTAAAAGGACCTGCATGAGGGAGAGATAGCAAGAACATATATTTGTAACCTACAGAGAATATAACTCCCTTTAAGCCTGTATTAAGCGGATAGCCACCCTTGTCTGTTCAATAGAGTTTCCGTTAAATACAAGTTCATGTCTGAAAACACTCAGTGAACGACTCGCTCTCTGCCGGCTCTCGCCTGTAAAATACAGAACATCTCTAGTTTTATAATGGATTCGCTTAAAACAGGCTTCACTGTATGTGACAAAATACGTCGATATAAATCGTTAAGGAGGAAAAAGATCTTGGCACTAAGTTGGCGTTAAATGCATGCGCTCATTCTTCTTACCCATGATACAGCCGTTTACTGTGACTTTGACAGAGGCAGATGATAGCAATAGTCGCTAATATGGCCAATCTAAACTGGAATACACTTAATCCTACTGATTTCATCGCAAGCAAAAATGTATAGTTTTTTCTTTTTCCAGATAAGTCCTTGCCGGCCTCCACTTTGGCAACTGAGACTAGAAGTAATGAATTCCCTAAATAATTTGTTGCAATTATTCAGTTGAATTACGCATCTAGAGAATTGGTACTGCCCATTAACAAGTTCGAAATTAAATCACGCCAGTATGCGATACCATAGTTGACCAGCAACTAAATTCTCATGATAGAGGTAAAACAAAATTCATGTTACATGGATTGGAGAATACTTTAAGCTAAAAGCTCAAAATAATATCAGTTATTAGTCTCAAAATTGTGAAGTATATTTAACAATTATTCACCAAAGTGGTGAAGTTCGAGAGGCTCCATTATTTACACCTTTAACAATTAGTCTCAACTTCAATGATATGCTGCTTTCCGAACAGGCAGCTGATAGGCTCCCTCAGAGGTTAATATCCTTCGAATCCTTTGCTACTCAGAAATATCTTGTGTTTTGTTATTTTTCATTAAAAAGTCTACTATACTAACTTTATCAGTGTTTCAAAAGGCTTTTAAAAACTGTTGTAGCATTTTTATCACCAGTGGATGCCAGTTATTTTAATGTTTAAAATTATACTCATGAATTCTTTGACAATTTAAGTCATTTATTTGTTTTATTTTGAGGCCTTAAAATGTCATGATGTGACTCATGATAATGCTCTATTGTGACGTAAGTTTTCTTCTTCGTTTGACCTTTCTCACAGTTTCTGCCATGAGCGGAGTGATGAGTGCCTTGAAAGCAGCCATAATTTCTCTTCCACTCTCAGTGATCTGACAAGCCGGCAGAATGAATCCTTTTCCCGAAAAATTAGCAGGGGGCCTTAGTTCCATAGTATACGAGTGAGTGACACCCAGAGTGTCGTACACATAATCAATTGTACCACCATATACAGGGTCTGAAAAACGAAAGATCAAACTTTACTTTGATATCGGAGCCCCAAAGCAAAAAAAATTTGGTTATCTATTCATCCGAGAAACTTGATAGTCACGTGACCGTACGTCCCTCGTCCCACAGGCGACCAATGTGAAATCTCACATTTTCTAGCTAGTGTGATAGCCCGCAACCTAATAATGCACATCTATGTTGTGGTCAATTGACAGCTGTCAAATCAGGGTATCCGCTGACCAGTATCATGTGACCTTAATGCGGGCTCAGGTGTCGACCCATTGAGGTTACAAGTTTTTATTAAGTTATCCGCTGGCAATAAACTAGTTTTTCAACTGATCGCACGCTCAGCTCCAAGTAGATTGCCGGTGCGATGGTAACAAGTTTATTGTTTGAAGTAATTATAAATTTATTAAAGAGAGCTTTGCTTATGACCTTAGTAAAATCTATATATCAAATGAAGGACTAAGTGAGCCCTAGTTCCATTCGTAATTATAATAATGGTTATAAAAAGTTGTCCAAAAAAAGTCTCACTTGAAGATGTGGCCTGCGAGCAGGAGTTTCTTTTCTTTTTTTTTTCGTTTTGAGAGTGAGAGGGGGAGAAGAACCCTCATTCATCATTGCTGGAGTAGCGCACACTTGCCCGATGATGCAAGTACTGATGACTTTTCTGCTTGTTTAAAAATGCATGAAGATGACAGAAGTAACAATTGTCTGTATGGATATTTACGTACAAAACAAACAAGCGCACATTGAATTAGTCTGAGATGTCATGCGCCTTCACTCCCTAACAAGAGAGGGGCGCGGGCCGGAGAGAGTAGGGACCTTACGATCCGACAACGGCGACGTCCATGAAAACGTCGCTGAAAAACAGACTTCGCATCATTTTAAACTTTTTCGCGATTATCCCAATTCACCCTGTTACTTTAAAAGAGGGGGATTTTGGCTGAAGCTGAGAGAGGGGAACGCGCTCAAGTTCGGACAGAGATGGTCGATTTTATCGCCTTGCCCTTCCCGTTCCCAAGTAAACTTAAAATTTGGTCATTTCACGTCTTAGTTGTGCAGTGAAGGCAAAGAAATGTACAAAAAAGCGTGATGCACGTGCAGAGTTGTTATTTTGCTCATTAAACCTATTGTTTTTTGACGTTCCCGTTGCCGACGTTGTCGTGGTTTCGTAAGGTCCCTAGTGTCTCTCCCTCGCGCCCCATACGGTTTAGGGGATGGAGACGTGTGACATTTCAGACTAGCATTGAATGTCTTTTAGCTTTTACTTACATAAAGTTGAAAAAAGTGGTCCGAACTTAAACACTCTTCCAGATGTGTGTCTTATTGCCTCTGTGCCAACTTCCATCACACGTCTCTGTATGGAGTCAAAAGAAATGAAAACATTAGGAAAATCAGATCAGAATGCTTATTCAATCGGCAATTGCAACAGTTTGTGTTGACTTCTGAAATATAGGGGACATCATCAGTTGAAATTTTGCCAACAAACTGCTTCTTGTTTGTTTTTTCTCCGACAAACTGCTGTTGGCAACATCGAGCAGATTTCTGGCGCTTCAGTTTTAAGGTAGGAGTGCATTCGTTGCTTAGCAAGACATACTCACCATCTGACTATATCCAAGTGGTATACTTTGATTTCTTCCCCAAGGGGACAACCACAGTTGTGCATAAGAGTGGATATCAAAGAAAGAAACTAATCGTTGAGCACATCTTGCAAGATAAGTAGCCACGTTTTGAGTCTCAATCTCACTCAATGGTTCTCCCCCAGGATATGTTTCACAGTTCGGTTTATAGATGCAGTCATTCAACCCTAAAAATACACCAATCATGATTTGAATACTAGATTTTGTACCTTAACAACAAAAAGATCCTGAAATAACACTGAGACAAAACCAAACTAGAAACAGCATTGTCGCCCGAGGAAAAGTATTCCCTATAATGGCCTATAACGAGAGGCTGTGGCCAGCTCGTGCCGTGCCGAAAATTTGCTTCAACCAATAAAAAGCACTGCCTAGATCTGGTTGGTGAAATGTCACCAGTATGGAATTTCTGCGCGCGTTCGTCAGAAGTCATTTCGCGGGGAAAACAGTGGTGGCTTTGCGAATTTTCGGCTGGTTTCTCAGGTAAATTTTTATAGTAAATTCAGTATTTTGATCAATAGAATCAGATCTGATAACGATCGATTTCGACATACATTCAGATCTGAATCATTCAGAATCAGATCTGAAATGAATACGCACCCCAATTTTCATTCGGAAAGTTTCTGTTCAAGTCCACACCAATTATATTAACAGAGCCTACAGACAGAACTGGTCTGCGATTTTTTCTCCAAAGTCGATCAACCTGTTGGGAATAAAAAAAAAATTTCAGGTCAATGTCTTGAAAAAGCTAACGTAAACACGTCCCACGTTAACCTAAAATTACGTTGCCGCGAACATAAAACAAAATTCCTCTCAACAAAAAGCTCTACAAACTGTCTTGACTGTCAAGACTCTTTCTTATTTCTCGACAAGAAAAAGAATGTGAAGAAGAACGCAAGGGGGAATGTAAATTTTCCCTCCCTAACAAGTTTTCGGTGGGATCACTAATGATATTCTCCTCTGCAAGTATTACTTACCTCTTGCGTATAATTATAACCATCCACGTTAACAACAGGTAGGAAAAACCAGTCAAATGTGTTCAACATGTTTGCAGCTCCCTCATCATTGCCGTCTTTGGATTCCAGAAGCTAATATTCAAAGGAATAACGCAAAAACGTAACTACTGTTTGAAACTTAAGGCTTCTTTTCCTCTACTATAGGATTTTGAGTACGTTAGTAGAGCTTATGCGATCAATGTAAGGTGCGATCAAGCTTACTCAAATAACGAATGAATAAATGAACAGGTGGATGGAATCTCTGCTCTAAGCAAATGCAGTCGTGGGAAAGGCCATGGCTCAAAGCAAAGCTATCTCTATCATTTTTAACAAGTTAACAGGTTTGTCACCACCGATCTTAAAAAATTTAGCTTGTGATGTCATTTACCAAAATATAATAGAACAGCCCTTCCGCCTAGCTATAATAGCGATCTTGTACTCATTGAAAAATGATAAACTCGCTCTAAACAAAAATAAAGCTCGTTGTGGACGCGGAGTTTCGTGACCTACTTACTTGACGTAATATGTACATGCATGTCGCCGGACTAATCCATTCCCTGGCGTGAATTCCACAAATTATAAAGACTAATCTTCGCTCATGGGATAAATGTTTCTTTTGCTTAATCTAAGAAAAGAAGATAAATTCAAAACTTGCAAACCGCCAAGACCGATTTGTCTGAGTCTAGGAGTGTTAACTGTAATCAACTTATCCTGAACGGGATGTCAGTCAGTCCACCCAGAGGGGAGGACAGAGTGGGGGGCGGGGGCATTTCGTTATTTGGTCCAAACGGTATGTGCCCCTGAACAAGGTATAGTTTTCACGGTCTTGCGTCTTAAACTGGGTATAAATTTAACTACTTAAAGGCATTAAGACAGAATCCACCATGAAATTGAGTAATTGTAATTTTCGGTGGACAAAAATCTCGTACCAGAATAATTTAAAACATATTGCATCCTTTTTTATATTTTTCAAGAGCTAAAGATGTAATAAATCATCTGTAATAACACCAAAGAAAATTTCTCATGGGAGCCCGAGAAAATGAATGTCAAATTTCACAAAATTACATTAAATTTACAGAGATTTACAATTCTTGTGAAATTTGACATTCATTTTCTAGGATTCCCGTGAGAAATTTTCTTTGGTGTTATTACAGATGACTAATTACATCTTTAGGCCTTAAAAAATATAAAAAAGAAGGCAATATTCTTTAAATTATTCCGGTACAAGGTTTTTGTCCACTTAGTGGTGGATTCCGTCTTAAGAACATCTCACCTCTATTCCTAACATGTTTCGTTGTTCGTACGACTTGCCGAGGTTTATCAGCTTCACCAAGTGAGGGTATTCTTCAGCGAGACGAAAAAGTTCATTATAGATCTGGCAACGAAGGAAACTTTTTATATGGTAAGTGAATTATCGTGACGTTTCATTTAATTTAACTATTTACACCAGAGACAAAATTTAACTGGGTGAATACTCAATACCAAAAAATCAGTATTTTGTTTGTTCAGCTGATTTTTTATTTGTTAGAGGAGATTACAATTGTGTGTTTGAACTCCACTGTGTAATCATAAAAATAAACGTTTTGAGCAGGGCATTCTTGATAATTAATTATCCGGGGATCATTGATTATAAGTGTGGGTTGTAAAACAAACCAAAAGGGATCCGCGAAAAAAGACCGATACGGACTCATCTCTGTTATAGGTGTCTTGGTCCCATAGACCTGATGCAGAATCCCCTTCCAACAATCCTGGGCAGTCCTTTGGCAGCAAATATACAAAAAGGTTCTACAATCTGCACCTCTCTGAATAGGACATCCCTGATGAAGAGATTTTGCCCTGTCCTTGTCCTTGTTAAGAAGGTTTACCTGTGAATTATAATTCTGCTCTTACCTCATCCAGTGTATGATAACATTTGTCAAAATTATCTTCATTTACTTCTGAACAGCATACTTCCTCGTTGTCAATCAGTGTTTGCGTGTCTTCAATCATTGTGTCAAACTCAAGACTTCTTTCTGACAGATATGCCTTGAAATCTTTAATAGCATCGGGACCCAAATCAATGTGAACTTCCTCCCCTGGAATCAATGAGTCTTTCCATACATCTACCTACAAAAGATCGCAATATTCAAGAGGGTATCGAGTCATAAAAATTTCTTGCATGATCCGGAAAGTTCAAAATTAAAGATCCATGCCATCTATCTAGTCGTTCAAGCGTGCGTACTTGTTTACTCGCAGGTAGGTCCGCAAGTGGTCCACAAAGTAAGTACCAACGAGCCTTCCCAAAGAGCACCCGTGACTTCATCCTGCTTGGACTAGTCAGTACTGTGGTCAAAGCGCTTAGCTGACCCCCAAGGAGGAGTTGAGTCCACGAAGGAAAATCTTGCTTTGTTTATTTGTTTCCTTTTTTGTCAGTGTTAAAGGGTGCCCTTTTTTTAGGTTGAAGAGATTTCAAACAGTTAACTGCTACACCTTCCAGCGATTATTCAGATGAATAGAACAGGCTGAGCAATGCTAATAGAAAAAGTGTACAGCCTTATTTGCCCAGACCTTGTAACTGATTGATAAGAGCCATTCATCAGCAATTAGGTTTTCTGATATCCTCCCACGCAGACGCTACCGCCGTCGTGACGCGCTTTGTTGGTTATTAGGCTGATTCAGTTACAGAACGGGAACGTCAGTTGCCGACGGCGCGCGCAAATCAAACAACTGGCTTGACCAATGGCAGAGCGGCAAATTGAGCACCGGACTCCGTGTTTAGTCCTTTCCGCGCGCTTTTCCGTCGTCAACTGACGTTCCCGTCCTGTTACCAAATCAGCCTATTCTTTTAACTGCGCTCTTCTCACTGAAGGAGCTACATTTGTACCGTCAGACCCGAAAGTAACCCAAACGCCGCCTTGAATTCGATCTATTTTTTGCACTTACATCATTTTTTCTTTGTAGTAGTTCCCTCAAGGATCTTACTTGGTCCTCGTTCTGTGGTATCACTCGCAGAACCTTGTGTCTTAAAATAGTCGCAAAACGTATAGTCATCTGTTGAATTATAAATTAAAACACATTTGCGCAAATGAAACTCGCAGTAATAAGCATATATTTTTAGGTTTTTTCTGAGAATCGTGTATCTTCCTCGTTATCTTGCGGGACCTTTCCGTTTGCTTTAGTGTTGCGCATATGCGCTTTTCTCGCCTAACTCCAAGACGAAGAGGGAACGTATCCTTGAAATAAATTATGAGAATCAATTTTTAAAAATTGAGCAGTAAAATACGTACTGCCGAGTGGACACCCCATTATTTTTTCACCTGTTCGGGACTCAGTGTCTTGTCGAAGATCACCGATGAAGAAGCAACGGGGAGAAAGCAGCTGTGGATATATATTCCAAACTTTGTGAAGGAAAACGTAAACTAGTAGCTACGGTGCAACCTTTATAAAACAGTGGTGCCTGCTAGATACAGGTTTGTCAGTTAATACAGAAACCTTACGAGGGCTAAATGACGGTAACCTCCGCTAAATATAGGGCGTCCGTTGAATGTGGGTCCTATTGAAAAAAAAAGGTTCCTTTTTATGTGACAAAACAAGTGGCGATTTAATTCGTTAAGGGAAAGAAGACATAAAGAATTAGTGGGGAGTTGTAACGTTTTTAAGTCGTTAACTTGGATTTCATAATTCGCACTCTTACCCGTCATAAAGTCGTGCACTCTGACTTTGATGGTGGAAGGCGAGAAACACTAATATGACCACTCCAATCCGGAAGGATTTTAGTCCTATTGCTTTCATAGCAAGCCAAAATTACGTGGATTTCTTTCCAATTAATCTTCATCATACCCTATGTTTTAAAATTGGCTAAACCATACAAGGAGTGATGAAGTCACTGAATAATTTGTTGTTCTGTTATGTATCTCATTTTCTTCGACCAGTGGAGAATTTTTAATAAAATCAAGAAAGTATGTCACCATATCATCACTGACATGTAAACACGGCGGCGGCTGCGTGAGTTTTCTGGCTTTCCCTTTTTCTCTTTATGTATAATTTTGGTAGTGTACGTAAAACGTTTTGCTATCTAATGGCACTGGCGCCCTGGACGAATTTAAAGTCCTTTCTGGAGACCGATCGACCTGCGGCCATAAGTTATCAACGATCGATTGAGCCGAAATTCAAACTCTCAAAACTTTGGTCGACTAGTGCACTACCAGATACACAGGGAATCGAACACTGTATTAGCTGTATCATGATCATTTGTTATTTACCTGTATTCAAGAGTCTTTATGAGCTTTTTGAAAGGGATTTCAATCAGAGCGAAGACGGTTAACCTTGCCGGTTTGAAATGTTTAATTTTGTCTAAATTACTAATCAGTAAATATTAAATTACTGAGTTTAAGACCTTAGGCTAGGGCCTGAGGTCTTGAAGCTAGAAATTTGCTTTAGCAATTTAATTGGTTTAGCACTCCTCTGCAAATGTAGGACTACTTCTTTTGACCATCAAATAGTTGTCTTTGATCCTAAATCAAATTTCTGTTTCAGAGGTCCGTTCGATAAATAACAAAGATATTTCTATTGTCAACAATAGCATAAATAATACAAGACTTACCTTAAATTTTAGTTTATTAACCAAAAAAAAATGACTAACTTGTGAGGATAGCTTCAAACGACTTATTTAAAAGTATTCTTGAATACCCCTCTGCAGATGATGATAATTTAGTTTCAAATGCTGGAGGCGACCGTGTGTAAAAGAAAAGCTTTGGTTTATTAAAAGACAAGATCGAACGAGAGCCAGAACTATCGGATGATGGTCTTGAAACTTCCTTCATAGAACTTAAAACTAAACAAATTTAAAGAGTATCGTCATTGGTTCTATAGACTCCTCGCAACAATGTAGAGCATGTTAGGGGTCCTAAACTCACAAGGTCTAGATATTTTCATAGCTAGTGATATGATAAATTTAGATCCAGTTTAAGAACTGTTCTGACAAACTAACTTCTGATAACCGGCGCGGGGCTCGAAATTACGGCCAGTCAATAACCTTTGTCTTGACTGTCTTGTCAATTACTCCTCTAATGGAAAATTTAATTTAAAACTTCAGAGTTTAAGTAAGGTTTTAATTGGACATTATTGAGTGGCGTTATTAATTTAAAAAAATAAGGGAAAGAAAGCCTCGATCCTAAAACCAAGAACAGTTACGAAATTTCATGATCGTGATTTTCGATATTAGCCCTAATTCTTTTCATTACCGAAAATCCAGGCGGTAATGGGCTGGCTTGTTCCCAGAGAATAATAGAACTAAAGCGGAAGTTGTCTACCCATGCCAGTTCCTAGAAAAATGTTTAAGTTTAACCCAGGATTAAGCCAAATTTTAAGCAAGGTTTTCTTGTCTATGAACATGTCACTCAAGCTTACAAAATACTGTTGGGCCTTTACTCCGAGATACAGAAATGATAAATAGAGGATATTACATGGCTGCGCGGAGATACGAAATTTCTCTTCCCGTGTTGAAAAGTATTTCATGAGTGACCGCAGCGAACGAGTGAAATATTTTTTCAACACGAGAAGAGAATTTTCTTATCTCCAAGCGGCCATGTAATGTTCTATTTATTATATAAACACCAACGAACTACCGAACCATTTCACTTTAATAGTTTTTTGTTGTGAAAGGCGCGGTTTATTATGAAGCCATAGCAACGGTGCTATTTTCAAATAACATGTTATTTTCACATGTGAAGATATCAAATTTTCGCGGGAAAGCTCACCTGGTATTTCATTGGTGTTTATATAATAACACAAACTATAAAATAACTAAGATAGTACGCGCGCTCTGATTGGCCGAGAGGAGTGTTTGCATGAGAGTATGTAAACAGATGTACACATGGTTGTGGCGTCAAGATGTTTTGCTCTTCGCGCGCTAATCACGCAAGTACACTGTAAAATGAAAAGAGCCAAATCGACCCCAAAGGCCAAATCGGCCCCAATTTATCGAGGGCCGATTTGGAACATGCTGGGCCGTTTTGGACAGAAAGAGTCAAAACAGTTCTAGATGGTACCAATTCGGCCCATCTAATTTCTGAATCGGCTACACTAAAAGCTACTTTGGCACTTCCTCTCAATTTGGCCCTTCCGATAGCCAAATTAAAGTTCCGATTTGGCCCCAACAAGGTCTACTCGAAGCGACCGCCTTTTGCCGTCAAAAGGGCGCAAGGAGACCGCGGTGTTCGGTTGAAGTAACCATACGTCTGACACAATCCAAAGTACGGTCCGTGTAGTCGAGTAAGGAACTAAGATAACTTTAACGTAGACCTGAAACCGTGACGACAGTCAGAGACTGTAAGGTAAATCATGGTTTCGAGCGAACCTTTGCCTCGAGCGAAGGTGCAAATCGGATACAAAACTACAATCACGCTCCCGAATGTTCTGCACGTGATTTCAATATCGATAACATTACATGATGCGTCACGCAAACTAAACGCTGGGAGGGCGTTACAGTACAATATCCCTCGGTATTGATAGCAAACAAAGACCCAGCCATCATGTACATATATTTTCTGATTCATAAGTTAAAGGTTTTTCAAATTTCGAACGCCTGCCACGCAGGCTAAAAATGACACGACATGTAAACAATCGAAAGCATTTTTGGAAACAATACACAACTGGTCAGCGGGCTTTCCTTTTGCACATGCTCTTCGGTGTTGTCCTTTTGGCGTTCATTTTGAAAGTACTGCAACGGTTGCGAACATGCCAGTTTCTTTGGGGATCAGGAGTCTTGCATTATACTTCTCGACAGCATCAAAGGACATTCAAGGTGTTGTTACTAATTATTTTCGAACTATGAGCCGTCGTTGATCCATCACTTCGCTCTTGAAGTTCGTCGTGAAGAATCGGAGACAGAAGCCTCGTGAGGCGCAACGGTTTTCAAGATGAACTGCACAAATATAACAAACGCTCTCCAAGAATCAAGACTTTGCTGGAAAAAGCCGATAGTAAGACCAGGTAAGCCGCCCTGATTCGCTCTCTTTCTACCAAATGCAAAAGACTGAGCTATTTTAACCACGTTTGATGAAACAGAATTCAGGTTACTCAAGTCCACCTTGTCGGAAGGCTTTGAAGAACGGGTCATTAGATGTTTTTAATTTTATTATCTAATGATAAGGAAATAAGTGACCCTGTATTCTGTAGTTAAGCCAGTGGAGGAGTTAAAAAGCACTTCTTCCATCCCCTCACTGTCCCCTATTTAAAACAGGGAGAATGATAAACATATCTAATGAAAAAACCTTAAAGCCATTTCAACTAAAGAAGATGGTAAGGATGGTGTGGTCTGGTTATACATTTACACTGTAGATTTCAGTACTTGTTCTGTTTTAAGTAAGGTTTACCTTACCAATGTATTATTTCTCTTGTCTGATAAAAAAGTGCAAAATATATGCATTAAAAATAGAAATTTAAAACCCTTTTAACCCTAAGATCAAAATTTGAATGCTCATTTGATGCCCTTATTCATTTCCTACAGAAGTAGTGGGAAGAAGTTGATAAAATATCAAGCAGATTGTGTGATCATGTCCATAATTCTCATGAACACTCTGTTTTACAAAGCATTGATATTTCAAGGAGAAATTTGATGCTGATCACTCTCAAGGCTTAAAGGGTTGAAGGAATAATGTGAATTATAATAATAAAGTTATGCATAAAATTAGGAAATAGAATTTTAGGTTGCAGAATTCTGCTTCAATAATGTGCATTATAATAATAAACATGAGAGGACACAGAGGCTTTTTACTGGAAGTACCATCCCACGCAGGGATGTTTTCTCCAAGGGCAGCTAATCCGACTTAATCCCATTTAATATGTCGCGCTCCTCGAAAGTGTGAAAATTTTCTTGTCGTGTATTAGATTTCAGATACATTTTCTTAATCTTCATTTTGCGCCAGAATAAATTAGTTTGCACGCAAAAAAAAAAAAAAATCTGGGTTTGTCCTACTTCGAGTCCACCTGTGATTCTTTAGGTAGAGCTAACAAACATAGGCTGCACTTTAGGTGGCACACCCATGGGTGCAGTGTAACCCAGTGATTCTTTAGGTAGAGCTAACAAACATAGGCTGCACTTTAGGTGGCACACCCATGGGTGCAGTGTAACCAAGTGATTCTTTAGGTAGAGCCAACAAACATAGGCTGCACTTTAGGTGGCACACCCATGGGTGCAGTGTAACCCAGTGATTATTTAGGTAGAGCCAACAAACATAGGCTGCACTTTAGGTGGCACACCCATGGGTGCAGTGTAACCAAGTGATTCTTTAGGTAGAGCTAACAAACATAGGCTGCACTTTAGGTGGCACACCCATGGGTGCAGTGTAACCCAGTGATTCTTTAGGTAGAGCTAACAAACATAGGCTGCATTTTAGGTGGCACACCCATGGGTGCAGTGTAACCAAGTGATTCTTTAGGTAGAGCCAACAAACATAGGCTGCACTTTTAGGTGGCACACCCATGGGTGCAGTGTAACCAAGTGATTCTTTAGGTAGAGCTAACAAACATAGGCTGCACTTTAGGTGGCACACCCATGGGTGCAGTGTAACCCAGTGATTCTTTAGGCAGAGCTTACAAACATAGACTATACAGGTGTACATCAGATAGTAACAAGTTTTCCAGTTAAAACTTTGTCATAAAGTGCTACACCATGGCACTTAGACTATTTCATTATCGCGCTTGTTTTGACGCACAATTGATAGTCAGGAGAAGTCGTATTGTCTAAAACCATAGCAAAAGACAAATTTACACACATCACAGCATTGAGGTAAGGTAATACACGGTATTTCCTTCAGGTACATTTACATTTTCTGTTAGGTAAAAAGCGATTAAATCGCATGCAGCGACAAACAAAACGCGAAGCCGTCAGATATTCTAGAACCGTGTTATTTACAGTGCTGTGCATTATTATTGCTTAACTAGCTAACTACGCGCTGATGGAAATAAGTTTCCGCCGCTTTAAATTTTGAAACAATTCACTGGTATACTACTGTATAGTCATAACTGGAGCGGAAAGTTAGCAAGCGAGCAGGGCGATTCTGCTGTGGTTTCTGTAATGTAGAAGATATTACGGCAATGAAGCTCCCGAGGTCCGTTCTGGAAATTACAACTACATGTAGTATGAAATGTATTCTGCGTGCAGACGTCTCCTTTTCCAGGTTAGGTTAAATAAACCGTACCAAAGGTTTGTTTGACAAAGCTCCCGCGAGACGGTTTCTTGGTGATTTTATTAATTTTTCTGATCCATTTTTTTTTTTTTTTTTTTTCTCTATTTTCCCGGCTTTTGCGATACAAACTGAATTCATTTTTAGTTGTGATGGCATTACACTGCTTAATCATGAAGGCATTGGAAGAAACTGAATATATTGCGCTTGGCGATTTCGCAAAAATCGCTGCGGAATTAAAAATATTTTCTTCCAAAAAAGCATTTTCATGCTTCTTTCTCTAGTCAATTGTCTCGTTTGTCTCGTTTTCTAAAGGTCCTTGAGAACAGAATAAGACAATATTTTATTACCTACAACCTAAAAACCTGATTTTTGACCAGATCGAAACAAAACTGACCTCTGAAATGGAAGAAGAAAAGCCTTTTTAAATATTTTTGCCGGCTTCGGCCCGCCGATGCGATCGTGTCTGGTTTGCTTTCATATGATGACATTTTCCTGACAGAAGGGTGTCGGGAAAAACACCTCGCGCTGATCATACGTGACCAAATCCGCCGCGCCTAAGCTAATTAAGAAAAGTCTCCTCGAAAGCTCCATACAATTCCTTATAACAAAATTATAAGGAATTGTATGGAGCTCTCCAAGATACTTACAGTGCAAGCCCTGTGTGTCTTCTCATGTTATGCATAAAATTAGGAAATAGAATTTTAGGTTGCAGAATTCTGCAGGTGTGATTGAGGTAAGAGGGTCTGTCAGTCAATTTGCTCCCACAATTACTCAGAACTGTGTGTAAATAAACTTGTTGCTCCAAGTCAACCAGTTTTAATTTAATAACATTTCTCCTATGGCAGAAATAGAAAGGCGGGCATCCTTTGGGTAGTGAACAAGGTTCTGCGGCATTGATCGGAGTGCTAAGAGGACCTTGGGAGGAATTTATCACTATTGTAGAGGTAGGTGTTTTGGGAATACAATGTTTTTCCTGATATTGTGATTCAAAATACCACAGGAGTACTACAAACTCAACTGTACATTGAACCCTAAATGCTTGGGAAGCCCAGATACAAGTGGAAGTCAGACAAAATTGAGATGGAATTTAGCTTTTGTTATGAAGGTATCCCTTGGGGGCCATTCCCGTCACCAGACTACACCAAATCTCACAGAATTATAATGGCTACATTATAATACTTAATAAATTTTGACTTACAGCTGCAAAATTTCTTGACTGGTGAGAAATACATGTACTAAAATAATCTTCTTGTATCAGGACATGCACACTGTAATTACCTCCTCAATGATGTGTGAATGTATTAGACATAATTATGCTGTCATTCTTTTTACCATAACATAAAGGAAGCATAATTTCAACAAACTATAATTTATACAGTATACCATACATGCATACCTGAAAACTGGAAAGAAGTAATTAAACCAACATTTTTTTGACAATAGTATTGTTGTGACCATACTGACTTTTTATGTGTATGCACTGTTTGTTGTGTTTTGATTATTGTTTTTATCATTTCTAAAGTTACAACATTTGTTTTTATTGCAGAGGGATGCAGATGTTGACAGGAAAATTCAGGATTTTGTTGTGACAAAGGGAGGCATTATTTGCCAGTTTCCTCAGAAGAAGATTAATTGATGCAGTGATAATATTGCTTGGGTGTTTTTATGTATTTAATGTATCATACACCCAATGCGAAGCCATCTTGACTTTTCTAGATCAGGCATTGCTTGAAAGTGGACTGGGGTAGACACTTGTCAATGTTTCCTCCCTTTTTTAATGACTTGGCAAATACCTCAGTTCTTGCTGAATGTTAATTCAGGACAACCTCGCAAGGTGTAGCCAAATTGTCAAAATTTTTTTCATGGAAGTTTTCTTTCACTCTTATAGACCAAGATTTGGCAAGATTTTTTAAACATAATATCTGTGGAGTAAAATATAGTTTAAAACATTTGCCAAGTCATTAAGGGCTGGGCTGGTTTAGTAGTAAGATACAGAGTCGGAACTGTAATCAAAAGCATAGAGTGTTGATCTAGTGAAAACTATAAAGCATGGGAACAAGAATTTTGACTGGTAAGTGGTTTATCCTTCGACGATTACACCACTGCTTAATCTGGTTTTCTACATCATAAGCAGAATCTGAAGAGTAGAAAGTTGTGATGACTCCAATTCCATCAAGCTTCTAGTTATCACTTCCCTTGCAACTCTGATTTTTGATTTTCACTAGGTGATGAGTGCTCTGACTATGACCCTGACTTTGTCACGAGTGAAAACCACCCTTCAAAAGGATTAGGTCAAGTCATTAAAGGCTCGCACTAGCAAGGTAGACAGAGTCGTAGTCGCAATCAGAAGCTTGAGAATTGATATAGCTAAAGCATCTTAGTTCATTATTGCTCTTAAAATTCTTTTGCTTCAATCTAATGTACATTGTCGGAATTGTTAGCAGGAGAACTTGACCAACTCTGACAATCTTTTATTTTTTTTTTTTTTGTCAAAAGGCGAGTTATAAAAGAAACCTTAATTGACTCCAATTCTGGTGAGCTTTAATTAATGAAACCCTTTACAACTCCAATTTTTGATTTTCACTACAGGTTTTAAGTGTTCCTATGATACTGATTATGATTTTGACTTTGTCTTTTGTGAAAACCGTTTTAAGAAGTAGTTACTTTGATCGCACCGAAGACAAGTGTCTCTCTTGGCCAATTTAATTCCTCCAATAATTCTAAATGTTCAATCTAGAAAAGTTGAGATTAACCAAGATAATATTACATAAATAGGTTGGAATACGCGTTGTTATGATGTAATTTTGAACCAAAACAGCCCCATCTCAGTGGGGCTGAATTGGCCCCAAAAACAGTACCATTCTGGACTCACCCGTTTCGGCCCCATTTTTGGGGCCAAATTGGCTCTTTTCATTTTACAGTGTACGAATTTTGAAAAAGTTTTCGAGTTCAAAACTCGACAAGTTTACTTTATTTACCCATTCCTTCGTCGGCTGAAACTTGGAAAATCGTTACAAAGAAGGTGTGTCAATTTTTCCTGGCTTAAGCTGGCATTTTAAGCGAGAAAAAATCGTCTTTTAGAAAGCATCTTTTTGCAAAACAAGAACTGATTACTCGTGCAAGACTTCGTTGACAAGACTTTGCGACTGGTAAGAATTTTTTTTAGTCAGTGCCATACAAAGAGTTTTGCGTTTTTTCTCGGGTTTGCATAACTGTCTCGACGTCTCCCAACCCCTCTCATCTTTATATCAGGCTATGCAAACACTGAAAACTTTTTCTATTGCTTAAATGTTACTCTCAGCAATACACAGGAAGGTACATACAAAAACGAAATGAAATTTTAATTCCGAATTAGCGCTAATCGGTCTTTCAGGAACTGGGACCTGGGTACTAGAACAACAACAACAATAACAAGAATAATAATAATAGCTTTATTCAAGCTTTCAATTTTAAAAACACGACAATGCTTGATGTCCGTAACTGGCTGAAGGTAGTAGAGACGGGTACAAGAAAACAGAAAATATCCGTACAGAAAAAAAAACAATTAATAAAAGAATGCAACTCTAGACGTACTCTAGACTAATAAGTAAATACTAGTTGAATTTTTCCATCCGTGGAGCGTTTTCAGTCACGTGATCAGCAGCTACGTCAGTTTATTGGATTTGTAATAGGAGTCGTATCCAAACGGAGTCATAAGCTCGACAGTATCGAAGTTCGAAGGGTCAGAACGTTTCTATTTTTTCACTGCTTACATTGTGACCGCGTTTTTTACGGTCTAAACTTGCTGAGAATGCAGTTGTATCGTTCGGGTACAGTGGAACCTCTATATAACGAAGTCCTCGGTATAACGAACGATTCTCTTTACCCCAGTAATAGTAAAATATACGAAAAAAAACCTCGATATAACGAAACCTCGTTATAGAGAACTAATTTTGCTAGTTCCTTGGCCCTTCGTTATATCGAGGTTCCACTGTAGTGGGGACGGGGCAAAGAAAAGGGAGCACGAAAAGCAACGAGGGGGTGGTGAAGGGGGTCACTGCTGCCAGTAGAAGCGGGAAAATGAACCAGCCAAAGTCCTCCATAATATATGTTTTTACAGACTCGTACCCAGTCGTTATTTATGTGTTTTTTGGGATGAGAGAAGATTGGGGATTAGGTTGAGGCGCCCGCGTGGAATAATTCTTCCCTTCCCATGAGAACCCGCGCGCGCCTCAACCTAATCCCCAATCTTCTCTCACCCCCAAAATACGTAAATAGCGACTGGGTACGAGTCTGATGTTTTTACTGGAGTGGTTTAGCCGGTTCCAGTAGTTCAAGCAACGACGTTTTGGAGCGACGCACGTCAATCGGAAGTGGCTTTTTTCATTTTTGAACAATGGTGTTGTCCTTATTTTCAGTCAAATCGTCTCTGTAAGAGTAAAGAAGCTATGCAATACAAATTTTATATCGTCAAGGCATATTAAGAGGGAAAATGCCTCACTTCCAGTTGACGTCCGTCGCTCAAAAACGCCTTTGCTTAAGCTCCCTAGTAGCCTGCGTAGCATAGGCGGACGAGAGCAGTGAAACCGCGACCGACAAAACAGCGCGGCGCCATGCTACACAGGCTCTTCAGATAGTGGAGGCGTTGAGACTGTTCAAATACAGTAGTGCAGAGAGACGCCAAATGCCACATCGCAGTCTCCCCTCCCTCGTTTTTTTCTTTTGTGCACTTTTCGCCATGGGTGAACGCCAGGAACCAACTAAGACTGGTTTAACGCTCTGTGCTTTTGATTTTGACTCCGTCGCTAAGGAAAACCAGCTTTAAGAAAATAGTTAAAAGGGAAACAGAGACTCCGACAGGAATGGTTACCAATGTGGCCGCCGGACTTGACGAAATGTGAAAACACTTTATTGTGACCTAAGTTTTCTGTCTCGTTTGACTTTTGTCATGGGGTTTTCTGCCATGATCGGGGTGATAGCCTTGAAAGCAGCCATGATTTCTTTTCCACTGTCAATGATCTGACAAGCCGGTAGAATAAATCCATTGTCGTCCTCATCAGATGGCCTTAGTTCTATTGTATACGAGTGAGCGACACCCAGCGTGTCGTACACATAATCAATTGTTATGCCATATGCAGGATCTGAAAAATGCAATATCGAAACTTTATTGCGATGAGCTTAGAATATTATATAGTGAAGCAAGCCAGCCCAATTCGGTCCGTAATCCCGGGTTGGTTACTTGGGTTAATTTTTGCTGGGTGTGTGCCGCGCGCCTCTCAGAACCCCTTCCCCATTATAGTCTATTCTGTGGCCAAATATAGACCCCATCTTGGTCAGTTTTGGGAAAATGTAATTGTCGCGATCCCAACTTAGTAACTATCTGTTTACGCACCTACCTTATGAAGCCTTATAACTAGGTCATCCTGACTGATGAATTGACACTTTGTTCACACTCAATGAAGTAAAAATCTTCCCATTTTTAAATCCCTTCCTAAATGAATTTTCTGATCCCCAAAATCCCGAAAATAGGCGATCCCATACACTAATGAAAATGCAACCCCATTATCGTCAGTCTACAATCGGCGACAAAATGAGTGAAGACACTTCGCCCTAAACGGGGCTTTTTTACGTTTTACTGACTTCAAAAGAAGGAAATGTAGTTTTTTCCCCCTTCCCCTCCATGCAATGTTGTGCCGATGTTCGAGCTACCTATAGAAAACAACAAACACCCCAACTTTGAATGGAGGGGGCAGGGGAGGGGCGCGGATTCTTTTGTTCTCTAAAGTTATCCTATTTTGAGTCTCAACAATTTTGTGGCCGATTGTAGCCTTGAAAATGCGACCTCATCCAGGGGCACATCCCCATTAGCCTATAACTAGGTAGTACCCCCCCCCGGGTCTGTAATACAGTTAACTCTTCTCTAAGTGAACGCCTTTTACACCGGCTAAGTGCCCGTCTTAGAGAAAAGTCCGTCTTATAGAGAGTCAAACACAGAAAAATAGCAAAGAAAGGCAGGGACCAACTCTTGGAGTTCGTTTTATAGAGGTGTCTGTTAAGAGAGAGTCGCCTGTAGTAAAATTATTTTTTAAAAAATCAATTTTAAAAACAGGCGTCTCAAGTTCACCCTACAAGCGGCGGTGGAATGCAATTTAGTCGGTGTCGCGTTACAGGCGACCGTTGAGACCCCCAGGGTTGAGAGGTTGTATGAGAAAGAAAATACTGTATTTATTCGAATAAGCGCCCAACTTCGAATTAGCGCCCACCTCGAATAAGCGCCCATCCTAAAGGGAGAAAAAGTCAATAAGCGCCCAGCCTCGAATATGCGCCCACCCCCTCCTCCTCCCAATCAAACTCAAATAAGCGCCCACCCCACCCCAACCGCGGACATTGAGACTGAAATTGAAATTGAATAATACTAATAAGAGACTTCCCCAACGAAGGAGATTTCTTCAGAGTATTTTACAGAAACCTTGCTTTGTTACTTCTTCGCGTTTTATGGCTCTTGTGAGCATTTATTGTTTTGTAATGCAAAATAAACATACTAAACTTGCTGAAAATGGTAAAAAAATTAATAAGCGCCCAGCCTCGAATAAGTGCCCACCACGTATAAGCGCCCACTCTCAAGGTCCAAAAATGTAATAAGCGCCTAGGGCGGTTAATCGAATAAATACAGTACTGAAGTCTGCGAACGTTAAATATCAGGCCTCAGTATTTTATTTTTCATACAACGTCTCAAAAGTCGCCTGTAACGCGACACAGACCCTCTTGCAAGGAAGTAAATTACATTCCACTCTTGTAACGTGAGCTTGGGACGCCTGTGTTTTAAAAACCCTGGCCAAACCAGGGGCGGCGGGAGCCAGGTGTCCAAACTTGAACTCACCCTTAGAACTTTAATACAGCCTGTTTACAGCTTATCATTTGCACCCGTTTTAAGCTATTTTTTTCGATAATAAACTTGTGAGCCTTAATTTTCCTGGCACTCAGTCACTTAAAGGCTATAAATTTCTTCTAGACTGATGGGTGCATTTAGGGACCTGAACCCCCTGGATACCCCGATCCCCCAGAACCCCCGGAACCCCCGGTCCTCCCCTTGGATCTGCAAACGACTGAAAACATGTTAATTCAATATCGTTCAACGTTCTTACAGTCAAACCAGGTCAAGCGTTCCCGTCGCTAACGAACTAATGAATTCATTCACGGAAAAATGATTTCGTTTGTTGATTCAATAATCCATTCATAAAATGAACAATCCGATAGTCATATTTAGCCTCGATTCCAGAATGCTGATTCGATTAAAAAATTTTTCTTGACCTCAGACTGATGGGGCTGCATTTGAAGTTCAAACCCAAACAAACTGAACCCCAGTTTGCTGCCATAATCAGTGCAACAGACCTCCCCTCTTAGAAAACCCCAAACTGAGGTCAACCCCTCGGTCCTTTGCCCTGTCTATTCTAGCTGTTATTTTGATTAAAGGCTAAAAACGCAAAAACGACTGAAACACAACAGACAAGAATAAAGAACAGGTAATTTTGTTCAATATCGTTCAATCGTTTTGACTTATTTTATGAATGGATTATTGAATCAACAAACGTGCCCTTGTTTAAAGCAAATTTCCCTGTAATAAAAACGTGCCCTTGTTTAAAGCAAATTTCCCAATAAAATAAATAATAAAGGTCTACTTGGAAATTATTTTTAATACAGTGTATTTAAAAAAACTGAGAAAAGCAATACAAGTAAAGGTACTAGCTGTCAGTTTTGTTGACATAACTAGTATTTTCCAGTACTGACACACACGCACTCAATTTCAGTATAATTTTAACTTACAGATTGTTTGATAAGTTGCTCCGAATTTAAACACTTTCCCAGATGTGGACCTTATTGCTTCGGTGCCAGCTTTCATCACACGTCTCTGTATGCAGTCAACAGAATTAAAAAGCATTAAAAATAACGAAAATTATGTTTTTCATTTTCATACTTTGACTACGTACCAAGACAACTTTAAAGGGTTTTAAAAGGAGTTTTAGAGAATTTCTACTTACAACAAAAAGTCAAGCATTGATTGCGAAAGAACTTCGGATATGAGTTGGCTGCTGACTTCAAATTAACGTGAAAACTTCGTTAAATTCTCAGATTTTTTTTTTCGTGAGCATACCAAATTCCAATACCTCCTTTGCCCCGTCAATTGAAAATACAACGTAACAATAGTGTCCCCAATCAGTAAGTTCGTGCTAAAGACATTAACACCCAAAAAAAGTGCATTTCTTTCTGGATTCCATGTATTGGATTCTGGATCTCTTGTCATTGGGAGATAGATTCAGGATTCCAATCGTTAGCTGGCCGGATTCCGGATTTCTTGAGCTGAGTTCCGGATTCCAAAGCCCAGGGGATATCCTCACATGGTGCGAGCCTTTAAATGACTTTTTTTTTCGTTAACTAATTAGTCTTTCGACTCACCATTAGATTATACTCAGCGGGTGTCCCATTCTTATTCCCCCAAGGGGACATCCACAGCTGTGAATAAGAATGAATATCAAAGAAGGAGACCAATTCTGAAGCACGGCTTTTAAGATAAGCGGCAACGGTTTGAGTTTCAATCTCAGAAAACGGCTTATCTCCAGGATAAAGTTCACAATTTACTTTAGAGATGCACTCATTCAACCCTATAAATAAAGTATTGGTTAAAATATTAGCCCGAAGAACAGGCGTTATTTTTTCGCTTTGCATGCGAGCAAAGCGAGTGGGGAGCGCCAGACACGCGCAACAGGGTCCTTCCCCCGTCAATGTCTATAACGAGAATGACTAGCAATGACTATAACGTGAATTTGCTCTGCTGCAGTCGCCAATAAATGACTTTAAAACAAGACCGGGTGCATTTTGCTCTTGTTCGAAACAGGGTAATAAAGCTGAGTTGTTGTAGTAAACAGGGTATTTATTTTAGGATTTTTTTTCCTATACAGGGACAGGATTTCATTCCCTCAGCGGCTCACCTATACCCAAGTATTGGTCGATTAGGTTTGAGCGGTTAGCGACGAAAAACATTTCCTCGTGTAGCCTGTTCCAGGCATTCAGATAGTAGAGCGCGGGAGAAAACTTCACGAAGATAAAATTTAAAGAACGAGGGGAGACTCTCGTTTAAGTGTTAATAATAAAAAGAGTTAGAATTGACTACGCACCCCAATTTTTAGTTGCAAAGTTTCTGTTTAAATCTACGCCAACTGCTTTACCAGAGCCTGTAAGGAGAATCGGCCTTCGATTTTTTCGCCAAAGACGGTCTACCTGTCGAGAACAAAATCTTTTAATTTCCATAGAATGAACAAAACCGCAGCATCGATGTGGCGGTAACCAAGTATTCAGGTCGGCATCACCAATTAGTAAAATTTCTCTTAACACCATGCAAAGCAAACTCTAAGTCCTATCTATTTAAGACTATTTGGAGCCTCTTCAATTTCTCAACGCAAACTAGCGGAAAGCTGTGAACAAAGCGAAGTGAAAATGAGGATGCGGGAAATCTCCCTTCCTCAACAAAGAACAACATAGTATGAGCGTAGATCGCTATTGATTATTTTCCCTGTATTACTTACTTCTTGCGTAAACCTGTAGCCATCCACGTTGAAAACCGGCAGGAAAAACCAGTTAAATGAATTCACCATGTTTGCAACTCCCTCATCACTGTCTTTGGATTCCAGAAGCTAATGTTCCAAAGCAAAAGCAGAATTAAGATATAGTTTTAACTCAAGTCCCATCTCTTTATGTAGCATTTTTAGCTAATGACCCTCCGACCACATTGTGACCACGCAATCGCACAATGAATGAATGAGTGAATGAATGAATGAATGAATGAATGAATGAATGAATGAATGAATGAATGAATGAATGAATGAATGAATGAATGAATGAATGAATGAATGAATGAATGAGTGAGTGAGTGAGTGAGTGAGTGAATGAATGAATGAATGAATGAGTGAGTGAGTGAGTGAGTGAGTGAGTGAATGAATGAATGAATGAATGAGTGAGTGAGTGAGTGAGTGAGTGAGTGAGTGAGTGAGTGAATGAATGAATGAATGAGTGAGTGAGTGAGTGAATGAGTGAGTGAATGAATGAATGAATGAATGAATGAATGAATGAATGAGTGAATGAGTGAGTGAGTGAGTGAGTGAGTGAGTGAGTGAGTGAGTGAGTGAATGAATGAATGAATGAATGAATGAGTGAGTGAGTGAGTGAGTGAGTGAGTGAGTGAGTGAGTGAGTGAGTGAGTGAGTGAGTGAGTGAGTGAATGAATGAATGAATGAATGAATGAGTGAGTGAGTGAGTGAGTGAGTGAGTGAGTGAGTGAGTGAGTGAGTGAGTGAGTGAGTGAGTGAGTGAGTGAATGAATGAATGAATGAATGAATGAATGAATTAAGAATCTCTCAACTTCATTTAAATGAAAATAAAGCTAGTTGTCGAGGTACATTCGAATCTACTTACTTGACGTAATATGTACATGCAAGTCGCTGGACTGATCCATTCTCTGGCGTGAATTCCGCAAAGTATAAAAACTAAACCTCGCTCATGGGCATCGGGTGTGTTTTGTTTAATCTGAGGAAAGAAGATGATTGTAAATTCAAACCTAGCAAACTAGGGAGAGGTTGTTTGAGTTCTGGTGAGCTCTATTCCTGGCTTAATTGTAAACAGGAACCTATAACCCAGAGCAAACAACTTCCATATACTTTTGCCACGGGGCATTTGCACTGACCATTTCATTTTTAGAACGGTTTTGACGCGAATTTAAAACATCTTTTACGTGACACAAAAATGTCATTGCTAGTTACCTAAATCCCTGAAAAGGGTGTCTAAAACTTTTATTGACATTAACTTTTCCTTTTTGATATCTTATCTTTTGAATGTGCTCATCGGTGGAGCGAAGTTTCCATTTTCGCTGCGGCCTACATCTCACCTCAATTCCTAACATATCTTGTTTCTCGTAAGACTTTCCCACGTTTACCAGCTTCACCAAGTCCGGGTATTCTTTCCTCAAACGAAACAGTTCATCGTGGATCTGGTTTGAAGAAAAATATTTACCGAGTCAAGTAAATTCTTACAACGTTTCTCACAGCTCAAGTTCAGCTTTTAGAGCATGGATTAATCTAAAGTATGACAAATAAATTAAAGCACTGATCAATGTGTACCTGGTTAGCTGTGTTTTGATCATATGATATATTTTGTAACGTTTGAAAAAAAAAAACATTTGATCAGAAGCCGATAGTAAAAACACATCTTTCAGTTAGCCGGTTAGCCCCAGTTCAAACGTCGATCTTTTCATGCCCCGCACTTACTAGCTATTTTATTTGGGTCGATCCAAACGACAAAAGTTTGACGATTGATTCAGACATCGAACTTTAATTAATTAAAATTAGTCGGAATCAACTCATTTTTGCGATGTACAGCAGTCTACAATGTTTACCAGTGAATAAATTTTAGTAATTTATGCATCAGGATCAGTACATTAAAACTTCGACGTTTGAAACGAAGTCGCTCTTTAGTCGAAATTTCCATGACCTAAATAAGATATGTCCGGACTTAATTGATTCAAAAGTCGATCTATTCAATCCATGTACTTAATTGGAGGGATTAGGATTGGTACGTGAAAAGTTCGACGTTTGAACTGGGACTAATAAGGTACCGAGTTCTTTTTCCCGCGGACAGTCCTAATTTCGCAAAGACACAAAATTTCACACATCCCTAGCTACAATCGGCGACAAAATGAGATGAGACACTCCGCCCTAAAGGGGCTTTTTGACGTTTTCCTGACTTCAAAAGGGGAAATATAGCTTTTTCTTCCCCGTCCCCTCCATGCAATGTTGTGCCGCTGTTCGAGCTACCTTAAGAGAACAACAAACACCTCACCTTTGAATGGAGGGGACGGGGGAGGGGTGTGGATTCTCGCATCGGGCTACCACTGCCCGGGTGATATGTTTGTACGCATTTCTAAGGTACTGGCCATACCGCCGAGTTGGTAGTGTGCGCTTTATATTAGTACTGATATGGTTCCTGGTTCTTGTCCCTTTGCTCATCGCATGAAGAAGGTTTGAATGCAATTAATTCTTGTCCTTACCTCATTTACTGTATGATAACAGCTGTCAAAATCATCTTTATTCCCTTCTGAACAGCACATGCCTTCTTTATCAATCAGTGCTTGCGTGTCTTCAATCATTGTGTCAAACTTTAGGCTTCTTTTTGTTAGATCTGACTTGAAATCTTCAATAGCATCAGGACCCAAATGAACGTGCACTTCCTCTCCCGGAATCCACGATTGTTTCCATACATCAAGCTACATATGTTTGGGAAATTGAACAAGGTTAAAGACACATCAGCATATTTCAGAGTGAGACACGAGTTCCTTGTCAACTGGCTTATAGGTTTGCATTTGGTCCATAAAATAATCAACACTGGTGATAACCTTCGGATAAACTACTCGTTAAACTCCTTCGACTTCGGAGGTTGGAAGGTTGAATAGGGTTATAGGTATACGCATCAGTATAGTTTCAGGGTGGTACCTAAGTTCACAGTTACACTGCACCCGACTGCCTCACACAGATCTTGCGGTTAGCCGCCTCTTTACATCCTCTGGTAACAGCATCGGTGACATGTTGGTATGCGTGATTCGTTCTAACTTCAGAAGTGCAACAGAGAGGCGCAGTTTTGAGGCCAGAATGATATTCGGACACAGAACACTCAAACCAGCCGGACTGAAAGTGGACTTCAACTTTATTTGAAATACTCAAAGTTAGCGCGCGCATGTAAGGTTAGCCTTTGTTTTGATTTGTACTTCAACGTTACATCGCGCGTGCTTTTTTCAGTTGCTATAAACCACTGAGGAGGAGGGAGCACTCTCGAAACGGCTGGTTTTTCGTACCTTTTAAACGCAAATTTTGATAAACTTTGTAGAAATCAATCGATCATTTGCGTTACACAATATCTTCCAATTTTTACCTAAGTTCACTGTCAACTAGCTCATAGGTCCGCAATAGGTCCATAAAATAATTAACAAGATAACCTGTGCATAAACGACTCGTTAGGATCCATAATAACTTTGAACGTTAGGGCGCCGATCTCCAAAGCGGAGATAACAGCCGCTAGGACCCGGTCCTTTCTATTTCGCGGCGTTTTTTGTTTTTGTTTCGTTTTGCTTTTGGTTGTTTGTTTGCTTGTTTTTTTGGTTTGTTTTTCACCATAAGGGCGGAAACCCTTGCTCCCAACGGAATACATCGCCCTCCAACCGCGTCTTCAGCGCCGCCCTCAATCTCGCGGGCTTTGGTTTTGATCACAGGTGGTCCAAGCGTAATATGAGAGTTTGTATGGGAAATAAAGAGTTTTTATGGAAAATGAAACTTAGATGAGATAAATGACCTAAAAGAGGTAAAAGTTATCAATAAAGTGTAAATATTGATATACCTGGAGTCGTTGTCTTTGTTTTTACGAAGTTTCAGCGCGATTTGAGTACTTTTAGATCATTTGACCTTACAGTGTATATGACTACATTGTCAGGTCAAATGATGTAAAAGTGCTCAAATCGCGCTGAAACTTCGTAAAAACAAAGTCAAGTAACAATGTTTACACTTTATTTATAACTTTTATTGCTTTTAGTTCATTTAGTTCATCTAAGTTTCAAACTCTTTATTTCCCATACAAACTCTCATATTACGCTTGGGCGACCTGTGGTTTTGATCTAAGAAAAAAGCTTGTTCCGGGACCCCAGGCCCCTTCTCTTGATCCCCACGATCAACCTCGTCCCCAGGGCTTTTCCCATTATTTTAGGGAAAAGCCCTGAGGACGAGGTTGCTAAAAGCACACGCATAATTCACCATAACCAGTTACTGATGACCAAATTTGGAAGAATTTTGTGTTTAACGAGGAAATTACTTCAAAACTTCAGCCTGCTACGGGTTGCTTTGCTACGGGTTAAAGCACCGTTACCGAGAAGACCTGGGGACGAGGTTGAGTTGTTATGGTTGTGAAAAAAAAATGGCGGACATTTGACTCGTTTCAAGAGTAAGAACTACAGCCGGAACAAGGCGAAATAATAGCTAAAAACATGGCAAAAACAGCAAGAAGACAACTTGGAAGGCGACATCTGCTATTTGGGGAATATTTGCGGAGCTGTACAAACCTAAACGTACGCTATCGAAGACTGAACTTAACATCGATGCAGGTAACATGTTTTAGCTATGTTTTTAAACTAGGAATTATTTTGAATGAATAATAAAGCAATTAATGAATTCGGCTTTCCTCGGATATGAAGAATTAAGCAGATCTCGGAGGGTGTTATCGACCCCCGCCCGATAACATCCTCCTCGATCTGCTTAATTCTTCATATCCTACTCAGCCTCGTTCATTAATTGCTAAATGACTGGCTCTGAGGGAAACGCTTAACTTTGTTTCTCGAGAATCTCAATGTTTCCCGAGGCAGAGCCGAGGGAAACAAAATTAACTATTTTCCGTGGGACCAGTCCTTAAGCGACTTATTATATAGCTGGAAATTTTAACGCTGGAAGTTCATTAAACCTCGCTACAACGGCGGTCGTCGGCCAACGGTAACAGTGCAATGTTACCCTCTGACGTCATAGACTTTGCAATGTTGCTCGCTCAGAGACTTTGGCGGGGAAAAAGTGGCCTAGCATGAAGAAACCAATGAGAGCGTGCGCTGTTGGGCAAAAATTTCTTACTTAACAAGGTACGAACGGCCCACCAGGAACACCATCATTTGTTTTAATGTATTCACTTACAGCACCATTCCAGCTTTGTAGCAGTTCCCTCAGGGAGCTTACGTGGTCCTCAGTCTGTGGTTGCACTCGCAGAACCTTGTGTCTTAAGATAATAGCACAACAATCAAACAGTTTCAACTCCTGTATATGAAAAAGCACTACGGCAAACTTAAACTTGCCTCAAATATAGTGTTAGCATCTTTTGCTTTGTCATTAATTAGGAATTTTGGAGGGGGGATTTTGAAATTATTTCAACTTAAGCAAAGTTTAAGGGAAGATCTTACACCCAACATTCAAGCACCAAAACGACACTCTTTCCGGTAGCGTAAAAAATGAATTGATGCTCCCCGTCAATGATAGACATGATACCGTTTCTGCATCGTTTTCGACCTTCCGGGGAGCTTAAGCAAGGACGACGACGACAGAGGCGAAAACTTCTAGTAAAAAGCGAATTCATACTTTTTCAAAATTCATCGCTGATATTCCATGTCGTTGGAGTCGAATTCTACAGAAATGTATCCAAGTTTAAAAGACGAATTAGAAAACCGTTGTCTTGTTACACGTCCTCAACAAAACTTGAAAATTGGCAGGTTCACGTCGTGGTCGTGTACCGATGGCAAAGAAATGTGACCAAAAAATTGTGCTGAATGTGCAAAGTTGTTGTTTTGCTTATCTAAACACATTACTATTTTTATTTCCGTTCTCGTCGTCTTTTCCAAGCTTCCTAATTAAAAAGGCTAACTCGGGCGAGAAGTCTTAACTGGTAGAGAGACGTTTTATTCATCCCTTATTTCTGAGCTCTGTTTAAGAAGCGAAAAAACACAAAAACGGCAACAAGGCTGGAAACATTGACGATGAATACCATGCCTTTATCCGCCATGATGCATACGTCTTTTTGTATTCAAGGGATCGAGACAGCAGAGTCACATCATCACAACTTGTCATCGGAACAACAATAAACTTGTAGAACCGAGCAGAAAATATAGAAATAGCTTGATGAATTTAAATTTTTCATGCTTAGCAACATCTCCCCTCACTATTCCGATCCAGGGGTATACGCAGTAGAAAACATTTTTGCTTCAAACGAGAATATAAAACAATTATTAAGGAAACGTTTCAACTTGGATCTTGTTAATCGATCACCCGGTTAATTTTTATTCTTCCAACTGTCTTTTGAGTCTGAAAACTATGGTGTAACGCGGAAATGAGTCTTACCTTGTTTTTACAGCTCATGTCACTTATAGGGAACTTATGTTTGTACGAATTTTAACCCTGTTTGGGGCTCTGCAATATCGGAGTTCCCGATTGGACAGGTGCCGTTCGACTCCAGTTATACTTTCGCTGTAACAGTTTTCGAAAGCACAAGATACTGGCATAAAACCTGTATTGTTAAATTCTCCCTCATCAATGCTTCGTTCATGTCTGCCTCGAAGATCACCATTGAAGGGAAAGAGGGAAAAAAGAAGTTAATATTCCATCATATTTGTGACCGAGAATATAGCTCCTTGAATCCTCCATCCTACAGCTGATCCTAGTCGGTTGCGCCCTATATACCGGCAATTTCCGGTGTTTACAGAAAGTCAAACATCGGAACGACTCACCCAGTTTCTTTCAGCCACTGATTTGATCGACCACAGTAGCCTTTGTGCTACAAATATTGCCCAGGAATTATTATCATTATTATTATATTCTTCTTAATACAGGGCGTCCTTTGACTTTGTGGTCCGCTTGAAACAGGTTTCTCAATATGCGTTTTATAAGTCGCTATAAAAAATTTATACTTCTTTACCCTCACCTGTCAAAAAGACGTAAACTGTGGCTAGGATGCTGGGAGGCTATAATCGCTAATATGGCCACTCCAAGCTGGAGGAAGTTTAAGTTTAATCCACCTACTGCTTTCATGTCAAGCAGAATTAACGTGGAGTTTTTCCAGATTAGTCTTTGCTAGCCGCCCTGCGTTGTTTAAGTAGCAAACGCAGACAAAAAGTGATGAAGTCACTGAATAATTTCTTGCACTTAATATGCAGTTGAATCAGTTATGAATCTCATTTTCTTCGATCCTAGCTGAATTGGCAGTGTTGATAACTTTTCTTAAATTACAATCAAGCACGATACACCTCAGTTGACCAGCAAATAAATTCTCATCATAGAAAATAAACGAAAATTCAGGCCTTAGACGAGAGAATAAATATTTTGAGCTACATCCTCAAAGGTATCAGTCTCTCCATTGTGAATTATATATCTTATTACAGCAGCTGTACAGCTGAGAAAATTGGACAAAAAGAAAAAGACATGAATTTACAGTAGAGACCGGTTTTATATTTTACTGAAGTAATTTCCCCTTCACAGTGATACAATGAAGGTACGAAAGAAAAGATTTGAACCAAGTCAAAGAATTTTTTCTAACTTCATGTTATTCTGAATAACTAGAGTAAATATTTTTAAATTATTAATACAATTTAATTGACCTTCAATTCACGGCAAGCCTTCCTTTCTCTCACGTGATCATGGTAAACAAGTGTTTGCTTTATAACCCTCTTAATTGTTAAAAATCTAAATTCTACCGTTTCTTTACTTCAGGCATAATGATAAAACAGCAAGAGATTTCATAATAACATACACTACAGCGCGAAGGTGAAAATCGTTTCTCAGGAGATTTTGTTTTTTGAAAGGAACGGTGCCTGATGTGTTAATTCAGAAGGCTACACTTTATCAGGTTCGTACTGCTACACTTTGTTTAAGGTGTCCGGTTCCAAGAGAAACTAATGAACAAGACTCGTGAGTAGTCAGACAGACTGTAGCCAAACGTGCATGATTCAACCGATGGTCCTCTTACTTCAAGTGGAAATTTACTGTAGCCTCCACAAGAAAAAAATGTCGACCGTTGGACGTGTTTACATCCATTTTCTTGGTTAATGTTCACATGACGTCACTGAAATTCAAACTACAAAACTATCGATCCTACTGAGATTTTACTTTCATGTTGTATTAGAGCATCTGAAAACGTTTATGAGTTCCTCTAGTAGTAAATTCACGCTTTTGTAGCAAAACTCGGTAACAGATGTTTCTGTTGGTTTCCGTCCGCCATCTTGGAGCTCATCTAGATGAGCTCCAGCATGGCGTCTCCATACAAAGCTCTATAAATTTGGGTAAAACATTTCCTCGGATATCTCGTATACGAATTGTTCCTTCGACCCAAATCCTGGCGAGGGTCTTTGTAGTTTATCTCCTTTCACTTCCCAGATTCTGGACTTTATCTGTCGAATGGTTTTGATTTTTATTTTGATCTATCAAGAGGATACGGCGAACGGCGTGACACTGAAAACCAGCAATAAGATTGAAATTTTGCAACAACAAACAGGGCCCTTTTCCTATATTGGAGTGGTATTGTCAAACCGCGTTAATACACGGCACCGAGGGGGGGCACAGAAAATATCATATCAACGAGTTGTCCGTATAAGGCGGGTTGAATTGGGCCGCTAAAAACAAGGAAACTGAACTGTCCGTATTAACAAGGTGTTTGTGTTAACCGGCTGTCCGTGAAGCGGGGTTCGACTGTACCGGATTTCCATCTTCTGATTCGACCGAAGCGTGAATGACTTTCAAAAAGATGGTTAAATTCAAGTGGTTTATATTCACTACTTTTTTCGTGTACTGGGCGGGGAGTGTAAGCATCTATAGTGTCGAAACTAAAAGAGCATACAACTGTCTATCCCCTCGTATATCAGTAATAATAATTTAAAAAAAACAACAAACAAACAAACAAAAAACAATACTGACCCCCACTTGTCTAGTTCCGTGGTATGCTAACCTGACTTGTCATTTTAACAGAAAAAAAAAACACAAGGAAACCTACGAATTTTCCTGATTTTGGTCTTTTGAAAAACGGAAGCTTTAATGAGAGATCTTCAATTTACAGACGCACTTTTTAATGCTTGGAGAAGCATTTAATAAAATGACAAGAAAAATTTCAGCTATCTCATATAAAAATGAATATGCTATGGTACATGTTTTCAGTGTAGAAAAATAATTAAAGAACAAGGGTTCAGGGAAGGAAAAGGATGGTCAGCTTGGAATCCACTTTTAGCAAAGAAGCTTTAATTTCTCGAGTCTGTTAAGAGAAGCAATTTGTGCTTGTTGGAACATTGCTTTAAAATTAAGCACATTTTTTTCAGTAAGTTTATATAGTAACTCCATATTAACTGGAAAGTAGCTTTCCTCTGTTGAAAGACTTAAGGAAAAGAGCACAAATTTTCAAAGGAAAACGGTAAAGGAATAAAGAAAAAGCTTTTTCCGTCGACCGCGTCATTTCTTCTTTTGCCTGCTGTGCGGTAGTCTGTTTGTTTCAAAAATAAATTTAAACTGGAAAGGGTTGACTTAAGTTTCTAGCACATATGAAGGCTACTGATAATCACCTCCTGTTTTGAGTTACAGTCAAATCCCGTTAATACGAACGCTGAGGGGGGAGGGGGGCACAGAAAGTGTCCGTAATATTTAGCAGGTTGAATTTAGAGAAAATTTTAGGGCTTTCTTTCCCCAGGGACAAAGCAAACTGTCCGACATAATGAGGTGTCCTTATTAAGCGGGGTTTGGCAGTGCTCAAATTTTATTGTTATATATTATTATGCTCGCCCGCTTTTAGAAGAAATGCTCAGTTGATTCAGGGAGGTTAATATCTCCAAAAATTGAATTCTCGCCATGATGTCTTAAGACAGTATACCGGTATATTCAGTTAAGGGCCATCAGCATGCATATATACTTTGTTGCGCGCAATATACCTTCCGTGGGCCTTCCTTGTCTACTGCGAGATGTAAGTAAGCTTATATGACAAGTGCCGCAGTCGTGATGTTTGCGTGATAACACTTGATGAACTGAGCCTATCCTGAGAACATCGCATGTGACAAAGGTATACTCGGCAAAGTAACCGCCTTCACGAACCCGCGGACGGAGAAATTGTCTAAAGTTCCCGCTTTCGCTTTGTTTGAGCTAAAAGCAGCCGATCGCTTTCGATTGGTTTATTGGATACCTAAAAGGCGTAAAGGCAAAGTCGGCCGCTTTTGATGTAATTGATTGACAGTCGCTGGTGGATTTAAGCAAAGAGCTTATTCTTGCTCTCAAACTCTTGTTTGCACGATTCTTGCGCTGCTCTCTTGCACGATTCTTACTGAGGAATGGATGGTCGTCGAAGTATGAGTCCAGTCGGTGGAAATTTGCATTCTTTCCCTCGCAACGAGTCACAACGTCAATCAGTGGCTTGTCCTTCACTACCCACAGTGTCCACGCCATTGGTACCAGTCTCTTCTCAACCTCTCTCATTTTCTATATCACGGATACTGGGTCTAGAAGACAATAACACTCAGTCTCGACTGGATTCTGGTAAGTGTAATTTTCCTTTACATATGTCTACGTTCGCGCCTGGCTTTGCAGGCGAATTTCGAAAGGAGAAGCAGTTGTAATTTCGCCGTTTAAAGCGTGTTGAATGAGAAACGGAATGAACACCGATAACTATGAATGGCTTATAACCAGTGTATAACTATAACTTCAACAGCCTTCCCACATCTAAAGTCGCTGAGTATTTCTTCGGTCTCCTCCGTGGGGAAGGCTGTGAAATTCAATAATTTTCAATTTAGTTTACTGTGCTCAATGCCATGATAAGCAAGTTTCTTCAGTAATTCCCGATGCAAAATTTTACCTACTTAGCTGCAAACAAAATGAACTTTCGCCATGTTTGGTCGTTTATGACGGAAATAACCGCGGTTGTCCTTAACTAAAACCGTTGATGATTTGAGAGTACTCTAAAGGTATACCAAGGTATTTTTCTCTTCAGTTTTTGGTTTTGTTAACATCAAAACTTTTATTATAAAAATCGATAAATGCTCTAGAAGTTTTGAGAGATAACTTAGTCACTGATTCTTCTTGATCTTCGTAGACAGAGAAAAATATCTGAGTCCTCTAGACTAGCTTAATAAAACGCATTCACAGAACTTCATTTCCGTGTTGTTCTTTCTAAGGAGCTCAGTTATTTCTTCTGATGTAATACTTGTTTTTGGCGTTGTAAAACTGCAAATGAGAAGGAGCAGAGGAGTGATGACATGTGAAATTATTAAATTTTATGACAAGACAAGTAGAATTTAGAACAGGAAAGAGAATGCGAAAACAAAGGGAGGAGGTAGCCGGTAAAAGCAACACGAATCTGAGTGTCAGTTCCTTGTTCAGCGTTCTGCTAGGATGGCCTACTTGGTCGTCTTGAAAATCGGGAGGGTAAAAGCATATTACTCAAGAAAAATTAATATAGCTAAGGTTGATTTTGTTAAATTTTTGTAGGCAACTGCACTAACAAAAGCCGCCAAAGTGCCGACAACTCACCGAACGTTGACTCTGATACTGACGTCGACAGCGGTCGGGAAAGTGACGCAGATCGACCAACCACGAGTTCTACCGCGAAGACGAAAAAGAAAAAACGGCGCATCACATTTTCACCGATTGAAATTTTTGAGCTGGAGAAAGTGTTTGCTGAGCGACCTTACCTGATGCCAGAAGATGAAGACGAACTAGCACAGAAACTTGGACTCTCAACCAGGAATATTCGGGTAAGAATTATTTAATTTTTTGTGACCATTTTTTCCGCTTTCGGTCTTTTCAAAAAATTGTGGTGAAAAATAATGGAGAAAGTAGGGTCAGCACATTAAAATGATAAATTTGTAAGGTCTTGTAATAATTTCAAATTTCGGGAGAGTGCGTTTGACAGGGAGGGGGGGGTTAAGGCACGAGGGAGTGACAGGTTGAAGAAGAAGTGGCAAGAATGATCCTTCATATTCTCTTGATATTTTACGTCCGTTTTTGAGCGGCAAATTACAATCAAAACTCCTTTTAGAAAATAAATGATATTGCTGAAGCTGGTGAAGATCGACTGAAAATGATAAACAACTTACTTGCGCTATCTTTCATTGTAAACATGTTTTTTAGTCTGGAAATTGTAGTTTTCTGATTATGCTCATTCGATAACAAAAGTTTGTCATTGTTTTGGCAATCTAGTAGCGCGGTTGCGCTATAATATGTGTTCCATTTGGCAGTCAAAGAACCGTGTTTTATTTTAGTTATTTATTATTACTTCACAATTCTGCGTTAGAAAATTCAACAGGCAAAGATTATTCGATTACGTTATAGTAAGATTTCTGCAGTATGTAGGAATTCATTGGCTGTTGTCTATTGCCTTTGGAACGGAAAATCATGATCGGTTTTTTATGTCAGTCTTTTTTGTTGGGTCACGTTTGAGCTGGTCCCTTGATACTTGACTAACATAAGTACGATATCGTTAATCGTTTTTCTTCTTTTTTATTTTTCAGTTTTGGTTCCAGAATCGCCGCGCTAAACTAAGACGGCAGGAAAGGTGTTCACCCGCTTTACCACAGACCAGTTTCCCAAACCAGTTTGACCAGTACCAACCAGCCTCAATCCATCAGCCCCAGCTTAGTTATCCTGTGCACGCTCGATTTCAAACACGACCGTTGTCTCCTCGTTACTCTGGATATTCACCAGACTATCAGCAGTCATACAGATCAGAGTACGCCACCTTTCCTTGTTATCCAGTAAGGCCAAACCGCTTTCCAATGATGGACATGCACTCACAAGCAACCCAAGACTTCCGAAGGTACCTGTCAAACCAGTATGCCGAGCCTTCACCATTCTTGCCAACATTACCCAGTTTATACCCCACCCAGGTGAAAACTGCTGGACACCTGGTGTCACGTGATTGCAAGATGCAATGGATGGTGGGAATCCGAGAGGATGAAGACCAGGAGTAGTTTTAAAAACTTTTATTCATGAGTTAATTTCCTTCGTTTTTTACCATGTCCCTTGTCCAGCTTTAAGTTGAACAAAATGTAATTCCATCACTGGTATGATTTTTCTAAGTGTTCATGTTTGGGATACAATATGCTGCAAAGACAATATCTTGTAAATATACTATTATGTACATTATAGACAGACAAAAAGTATAGCATATCTTGTAATTAATGTAATAGCAAAGTTAATGTACAATCTCTTTAGCTCTTTGTAAATAAACTTGTTTTTTTTAAGAGACAGTTGTTTTTTGGAACATTTCATTCATTTTGCGGAACATTCCAAAGCTCATCCTAACCCTCATTATTTAGCTTTTCTAATCTTCTTACTCAAATCTCTTTTAAATTAAGAATCTACATGCCATCTTAATATTTGTTATGTCTGACATAAAATCTAATACAGATAGTTTGCGGTTTTATCTCTTAAATACACAACGAAACTTCAAAAGAGCGTCTCAAAACACACCAGCAGATTTTGCAGAGCAAGATTTTAATTTACAAGATAAGTGTATACTCTGTCTCTTGTAGCAGTTAGTACAAACCAAATTCTTATGCAAATAGGCTTCAGTCTTGCTAAGCATGTGTTATTTTTTGCTAGACCTCTTCAAGAGTTGCTGTGACAAAAAATATTTCTTTTGCATCACCATAAGGTTCTAGAGAAACAGCCAGCAGTTTTATCTCATTGAACATCTTGAATCCCTCACTGGCTAACGTCTCTTCAATCAAATTCGTAGTCAGTGGAAAGCAATAAAATCGTTCTTGGCCAACAAAGTAATAGGTCTCCTTCAAAACACCATACATTACAATATATCCACCTGGTTTAAGGTACCTCTTCAATTTACCAATTGCGTGACGATAGCTTTCTTTAGATGTCACGCAAGCCTCTAGGCACAGGGATGTTGTCACGACATCAAACATGGCGGACTGCGACCCCCAAGACGAAGGCCATTTCACTGGATTATCCCTCTCAATATCACATGGTAGAATATGTGTTATCTTTCTTCTCAGCTCCGATTCTCGAATGGCGGCCTCTTCGCGTGACCTGCCCTCCAGATTTTCTGCAAACATGGAGCTAAAATATGGAAAAGATTACCACAATTATTTTGACGTTGAGAACTATTTGGATTTTTACAGAGAACCCAAGCTGAATGAATTCCAACATGTGGCGCGTCACGAATTTTGGTCAAGGTAGCACCTAGAAAGAATTTTAGGGTTTTAAACTTTGGCGGCGGACCAGTGATTTCAGATCTCATCAGCGCCGCGCCTTTTGTTAAAGAAATCATTTTTGCCGGGTACAGTGAGGGAAATCGGCAAGCCGTGGAAAAATGGCGACAAAATTTGCCCGATTCGCACGATTGGTCTGCACATTTCAGGTTTATTCTATAGTTTAGACGCCCATAAAGCAGTAGAGGCGGAAAGAGCTACGAGTCAAGAGTCGGGAAGGTAATTATTTTTTCAGGCCTGGTCACTAGGCACTCAAATATGGCGGCACAGAATTTGTTACTGCACGTAGCAAGAGAGTGAACTGATGAAGGTAGATTTGGTCGATCGAGTTTTATTTTTGTCTTTTACGTTTTTCTTTTCCTTGTGTTACGCGATTTTCCTCTTCCATCTAGTGCAAATGATAAAATAATGAGTAAATTATACCAAGGCAGATTTGACACATCTTTGCTTGAAAGCTCTGCAGCTTTGTAGCTTGTTTTTATTCTTTTTAGACTTGATTTCTCTCTCTCTTACCTATAGAAGAAATAATGTTGAAACTTCAAAGTGAACTGGACAAATTCAAGCAGGTTTTTAAAAGCTCAAAAGGTAAAATCTTGGACTGATAAGGATCAAATCCTACCGTAGATAGTTATAGTACAGGGGATCCTACGTACCAAACACAGCCAACGAGTGAAGTTGTACGTCATGAAAAAAAAAAAAACAACAACAACAAATAAACAAACAAACAAAAACAAAATTTGAGGAAAAACTTTTGTTGATTTGTAGTTGTTGGGTGGATTAGGAGTTGTATGGTGATATGTACCTTTCCATGTTGTGAACATGATTCATTACCTGCCTGTGTTTTGTGCTGTTCATGTATATGTTACAGTTACAGGTCAAAATTATACATCCGTCAATTCCACCTGTTCCCAGCCTGATTGACTGATGCATTAATTTATAAGTATATATAAGTTCAGGTTAAAAATTTTTAACCTAGATTGATTCTCAGGTTAAAAATTTTTAACCTAGATTGATTCTCAATTAAAACGCAAGAAATTCGAAATTTTGTTTTTTGCCTTTTATCTCCCAATCACTTAGGCATGACGCGTACTGTCCTATTAAACTGTCCAATTAAGGCTGAAATCAGGGCAGTTGACAGCCAATCAGATTTGACAATTTTGTTATAGTTATGATTATTCATGAAATAGGGCTAGGATACAAAGGAATTGAGAATCAACCCAAGTTAAATAATTTTAAACTGAATTTTATTTTGACCTGTAACATATATAAACTAGTTTTGTTATCATACAGAGTCTCAGAACTGGATAAAGAGTGAACAAGTGTGTAGATGTACTGACCAAGAGTTTGATGATCTACTGAGTTCTCTTACAGCTGTTGTAAGTTTCTAAGTAGCAGTATAGAGCACTGTTTATAGCATACCACCTCCCATTTTGCACTTACCTGTCAACTCTCAAGCATTGTGCATGAGTCCTTGGATAAATATTATTTTGCTTCAACACATAAAATATTGAAAAAAAATGCTTAATGTTGACTTTGTGGCCTAACCGTATCACAACACGCTAAAATTGTCACCTATTAAATGGCTTCAGAAATGCCCAAAGGTCATCAGAACATCTTCAAATATTTTTAACAAGGTTCCAAAGTCTTCGAAGAATCATCCAAAATCTTTGGAAGTCGCTGGGACATTTTCAGAAATCCCGGTCGTGACAAGATAAAATCTCAGACATTTGACTCAGAAAAAGTTGACAGGACTATAGAACACCAGCCTTTTAAGTGGAAGGTCTCGGATTTGAACTACAGCTGGACCATCAAGCAGGGTCTATAAAACCTAATAAGATGATGCTGGCTGTGATTTAAGTCCTTGGCTCAGTGTCGCAGTCTGGTAACATGAAGCTATTGGGGTTTACTCTTGACATTTTAAATTCTCCTTTACTTCACAAGAAAATACAAGGCAATTAATTAAAGGAGAATTCAGAAGCTTATCATAAGCCCTTTGGTAGCTGCATTAATTTGACCCTGAAGATGACTACCGCACAGGTTGTCGAAATGTCAGTCACTGTCAACAACAAAAATCCTATCCAGGACTACGATCACCCGGATGGTCATACTCAACCTACTTAGGAAATGACTCCTGGGTTCAATCCTTTTGCAGTTTTAGGGTAAAAAGGAGCAGTTTGACTTTACCATTCCCAGATTTGAATTTTGTTGTTAATTAATTAATTATTTATTCATTTTTTTTGTAGGAACTTGAGGCTACCACTCTTATTCTTCAAAGGCACATTGATTTAGAGCAACAAATTTGGAAATGTTTAGATAATCTAAAAACAGTGCAGAGGTATATTAAGCAAAAATATGTTAATACCTGTACTTTTTTCTTATAATAAAATATTAATAATTAGATATTAACCCTTTTAGCCCCAGTATTCACAAGCAAATTCTCCAAACTGATCTCCATACATTTCCTTAAAGAATGAGTTGAGAGAATTTGATAAACGATCAAGGCATTTTTACTTGGGTGATCATTTTATTAATTCTCATAACTTATCTGTTGACAATGTATGGATATTGTTAGGAGAAAATTCATCTTGGTCACTATTGGGACTTAAAAGGTTAATTATAATGCCTTTCTTTACCCTCGGCAGTTTAATAGCACAAAGGCTAGTGGGGCTGAGCAAACAACTCTGGCAAAAAAAAAAAATGAAATAAACATAATAGGGTTAAAACCTCCCTCTGGCTGGGCAAACCACTTGGCTGTGTTATAAGCGTGATCAAGGATTCGACCTTAGGACTACTGAGAAGAAAACCAGCTACAGCTGTAGTTGTCAGGGTGGAACGTTAACTCAGGGCCTCCAATTATTATGGAAGTCCAGTGCTCTAACTGCTCACTACACTGCCTTCCTCTCGCTGAGAATAGTGGAATTTTTGTTTTATCTTGTTGTAAATATTTATTCCACTGTAAATTGATTTTATTAGTGGATGGGAAGGAAAGACCATTGATGTCACTGAAAAACTTATTGCAAGTCAGACCAAGGTAGCAAGACTCAGAAGCAGACTACTACGTTGTATCACTCAGGTAACAAAAACGTGCTTGGAACCTGCATGACTTGTTTAAGGAGCTGCGTCATGAAGTTTTCCAAAATTCAGACATGGGGAACTGCCACCAAACTGAGTGAAACATAAAAATAACTGCTTTAAACATTAATAGTGACCAACAGCAATTTTCTCCTAATAATATCCATACATTGTCAAGAGATAAGGTTATGAGAATTAATAGAATGATCACCCAAGGGAAAATGCCTTGATCTTTTATCAAATTCTTTCAAGTAATTCCTAAGAAAATCTATGGAGATCAGTTTGGAGAATTTGTATGTGGATATTGGGGCTTAAAGGGTTAAGAAGACTGAAGTGGATTGCAATAGACCTCTTTAGCTTGTATGTTATGTTTTCCCAATATAAGCCATGTAATAATACTCTAGAGAACTGTTTCTTTCAAATTAAAATTTTTCATCAGTATTGGTGTCAAGGCCAATGTTGTAGCTAATTTGACCAAAAACTTGGTCAAGAAAGAATAATATATATTTCAGTAATGGTGAGAAGAACATTATTTTTTGAAAGAGCAAAGTGAGTAATGGAGAAATAGCTCGATCTTTTCAGCTAGAGTTGTCAGTAACATTTATTTTAAAGACTAGAGTCATTTTAATCGTTTTCTGAATATTGTTTTGTTATCATGTCTTCCAGCAACTTCACAAGAATGGATCGATGACAATGAATCTCCCAGCTTGGTCAGGAATAGATGTTGATAATAAACAGAAATTGGAAAATCCTCTTGAAACAGAAAAAACAGAACAAGGCATAAACATAAAAGATCAGCCAGGTCCTGCTAAAGAAAATCCAGTTGAGGCCACAAAGCGAGCATTTGTCGAGCCTGAGGATTTAACATATTCAAATGTTGGAGAGGTACAAGAGCTAAAGGCTGCGCAATCTAACCAAGTGCCGCAAGATTACAGTGTGTCACCTCACAAGGAAGAGCCAGTGGCCATGGAGAATGGTGATAAAGAAAGCAATGTTTATGAAACTCTGTGTCCAGTGCAAACTGGACCCTCGCAGCTAGTTCCACCTACAAAACCACTTCCCTATTCATTGTCAAAGAAGTCAAACAGCACCTCTGGTGATGATGGTAGCGTGAGACAAACTCAAAAGGTACCAAGCATGTTTTTCATTGTAAAAAATTTCAATGGTACCTTTTTTAAAATTATGTGTCTGTCCACCTTGTTTACATCTAAGAACATGGTCTTCAGGTGAATTGCAATATTGCTACTGATTACTTGCCAAATTGAAGCGTGTAGAATTTTTACTTTGCCTGCCCTGTAATGCATATGAACTCATGTAAGCACGGTAATTATTGTTCTGCTGCTCAATAGATCTGCTACAAAGGTGACATCATTATTATTGCACAACACAAAATTACCATAAACAAGACAACATTTTAAACAGCTGACTTTTTGGATCAGTTAAACTACACAATAATTTTTTTTTAAAAAATTGTACAAAAAAAAAATTGTTCTGCTGCTCAATTTATCTGCTACAAAGGTAACATCATTATTACTGCACAACACAAAATTACCATAAACAAGACAACATTTTAAACAGCTGACTCTTTGGATCAGTTAAACTACACACTAATTTTTTTAAAAAAAATTGTACAGTTTTAATTAATGTGTATAAAATGCAATCTATTTAAGTAAAATAAACAGCCAGGGAATCCTTAAAGAAATTTCATCGTTTGTTACAGCAGGATTTGCCATTGGAAAATGAAATATATTCAAGCACATCCATGGCTTTCAGCACATTACTGATTAAGAAGAAAAAGACCTTGATGCTTATTCTTAACTGTTTTTTAGTTTAAAATAGAAAAAAAAAGGTATTATTTCCCTTGATATGTTTTTTTGTTCATTCAAACAGGATGAAAAATCGACAGCGGATGCTGAGCAAGTAGATGAGGAAGATGCCTGGGTCGTAGAGAACCACCACATACAGGACTGGGATCCTGTGAGTACATACATGTATATCAAAACACTCCTGACAAAATACTTTAACAAATGGAACCATGATTGAAATAGCTATATCCTCTGGACCAACATAACATATTAGACCAAGAGTTGATTTACGTCATTCATACCACTTGATATAATTTTTGCATATTTGGTATAATTATTTTGTTTTCAGCAAAGTATGATAATTGTATTTGTATAGGTAATAGCATGATTTGTAGGTGATATTTGGCATAAATACCACGAGTGATATTTCAAAATTGTTATACGTAATTTGAGACAATTTTGAAATATCACAAGTGGTATTTATGCCAAATATCACCTACAAATCATGCTATTATTTGTTTATACTACTACCGACAAAAGGCTTGTAATTTTCACATGTAGGTATTTCAAATTAAGCTGAAATACCACTGCTCTAAGCCAATCAAATTGCAGAAATTTCTCATGTAGTAGTATCAGAACTTGAAATCTGCTTCGAATTTTGGTTTTTGTCTGTTTTAGCGTTGAATATACATGTACAAAGGTGTATTAATTATAATATTTTTTTATGTTTGCTGTGTTCTTCTTTCACAGACACCTGTTCTGGAAGATTTATTTGGGAATGTACACCCTTTGCCTACTCCGTTTGTTGTAAGTGCATCAGTCTTAATGTGATTAATTTATTATAATACAGGTCTACTTTTCTGCTATAAATCAATGAGTGCTTACCATTTGTATGGAAATCAGGTTATCCCTCGGAAAATTCAAATGGAACAGCTCATCTCGATATTACCCTTTCCCGATTTTACCAAAAGGACCAGAATTTTCTGTACCATTTGTTTGGATTACCTGTGCCAGGCTTCATGTTGAGAGAAATGGACAAATTTACTGGTATTTTGTTACTGATACAACTCAATCCCATTCCCGTTTTCGAGGCCAAAAAAATAACAGTACATGTACCTTACGACAGAAACATTTTAATAGAAAGTTCCATTAAAATGGTAAGTGCTCAGTGTCTACTGCTGTGTCTGCTTCATACATACATCAGTGTGTGTTTACACCTTGATAATTTGATTGCCCTTTCAGCCAGCTACTGAACCCAAGGTTGATAGTATTCGTATGGCTGGATACATGGAGAAGCTACCAGTTAAAAGTAATCAGAAAAAGGTATATGCAGTAATGAAAAACCCTGCCATGAGTATAGTTCACTGATCCCACAGCCCCATCCCCCGTCTGATCCTCCGTCTCTGCAAGGGACGTCTTCACCAGGAGAGATGTCTACACCTTGACGACAGGAATTTCATACTGACGACATAAATCAATGTTTATGTAATAAATTCACTGGCCTGATTGCAAAATGTACTATCTCCACGCTATCAGATGCAACTTTCTTTGCACGACCCCCCCATGCTGTAAATTACTTCACTGATACATGTATCCTAATAGATATCTGTCGATTTTATCTCTCAGGGTACACTAATTAGGAGCTGGAAAAAACGTCATTTTAAGGCTCTCAAAGGAAAGCTGTACTATTATGAGGTACCCACATTTTATAAAAAATCTCACTCAAGTTACAAATGCAGTTATGTCATGAATAAGGCTAAAGCTGTTTCTTTATGTCTTTCTTTGTTTTTAAAACAGGATCATCGTGTTTTAGAACCATTAGGATTTATAAACCTGATCAACTGTTCGGTAAGATGAATTTACCCTTTAACTGATCCACTTGCAAATTCCCCAGGCTGAATCAATATATTTCTTATAAAATTAATGGATGTTTTTAGTAGATAATTATGTGAGCTGAGTTTGCTATTGGTTCTCTCCCATGCTCCGAGAGGTTTTTCTTGGGGTACCCTGGTTTTCCCTTATTCTCAAAAACCAACACTTCCAAATTCCAATTCGATCTGGAAAGCATGGACGTGACACGTTTAAACTTGTTCATAAGAACTCCCAAGTGCTTTGTTAGTAAACAAATTATTGTTAAAAGATCAAAGTATTTTCTCCTTAATGACTGTGATCATTTTATTTATTCAACCTTTTTCGTGAGTATGTATTGATATTGTTTGGAGAAATTTGATGTTGTTCACCCCTGGGACTTAAAAGGTGAACCTTTTTTGTTTGTTAGACTAAAGTACTTCATATAAGCTAGATATGCATTTTATAAATGGCCGAAGTTAAAAGTTGACTGGTTTTGTGTCATCAGGTCAAAGTTGAAGATAAGTTGCTGGATGTTGCGGAAGAGGTGAGTAAACAAACTCTCTGCTAGCGTAACTCTACTCTCCTCTCCCTCGCAGCTGTTTTTGTCTTGTCACACAACACTTCTCCTTGGAGAGAGCATTGCGTGACAAGACAAAAACTGCTGTCTGGGACACTAGCCTGACCCAGTCTCTGTGGCTGGTATTGTTTATTTATGCCTCTGTAGATTAGCTAATGTTACGTTCATGGCGTTGTTACATGTATGTGACCTAGTGTTTACTGACTGTATTTCAAGGGTGTGAAAGGGAAGTCAGTGAAGCTGAGATGTGCTTCGGTTAAGGAAGCAGAAGACTGGAAAGAAGCTCTTGAAGCTGAGTCAGCAGCATCTGTGGATAGCAGCACTGTTCCAGAAGAATCTTCAGCAACTGAGGTACTTATGAAAATAAGCCTGGGCATTTTAGTAGTTTTGCAAACATGTTGGTTTTGGTTTCCTACGTGATTGGATGGAGAATTTCGTGCTACTTTTTCAACCAGTCTACAAATAGCGTGGTCGTTTTCGCGCGCCTGGCGGTTGTTGCCTGTACTGCGTGAGTAGATGCGATTTGACAGTGTCCTATTTCGACCTTTCTCCCAGGGACAAAAGACTGTGTAGCCAGTTGTTCCTTGATTCGTTTCTAAAAGCCGATCACAACATTCTTCTTTTACACTTGAATTAGGTCCGTGTTTCACTGTTTGTCACCGGCAAACAATGTATGAATGTGACAGCTAGAGATATAGAATTTACCTACATGCCCTTTGGCAAGCAGAAAATACATGTATGAATGCATTACTGTTAGTAACAGTTAAAGAAATTTCCTCTAAATTTCAGGGCTTGACGATCATTATTGACTTGGGTTCAAGTTCAGTCAAGGCTGGGTTTGCTCAGGAAAATCGTATGGCTTTATTTATATAAATATTTATTCACTTTTATATTTTCAATAACCATTTTGTTTTCAGCAACTTACTCTTGCAAACTAAGGATATAGCTCGTGCTAAAACAGTGTTCACATGGGCTCTTGAAAAATGGCCCGAGACGCAACGTCTTGTATAAAATAAGGTAATAACGCGTTACAAAATACCGTGCCAAACATGCTCGGTTGATAAAAGAGTTTATTACATCACTGATCAACTAGAAAAACGGGTGGGGATAATTCATGATGCCTGACAGGAAAGTAGAGCAGGAACAAACTGAAGAATTTTGTGCGATGATTTTTCCTAACAACTAATTCGTCTTTCTTTCTGTCTCTTTTGTTCATGTGCTTTTTGCTTAGCTTGGCCTCAAGTGATATTCCCATGTGTCATTGCTATGGATAAAGAGAATCCGTAAGTTTTCATTCACTCTCCAAGGTTTATGGACGTTCCTGTATTCATTGTTTTTTCTTCGCAAGTACCCCGTTGTTTGTTAGTGGGCACCTTCCATGAGGCAAGACCAGTTAATTCATAGATAGAGTACTGTCCTGCTACTTAATGGTATACACCGTAGTCATGGGTTTTGAGTAAAAAGTATAGAAAGCAGCCTGTTTTGTTTTCAAACCGACCTGTTCGGACCGTTGAAGGCAAGTTTGAAGTGGGCGTAGACCTTGGAGTGCGAGACACACGCGATAGGGGAAGACACGTGTCTCGTACTCCACGTGCGCTTCAAGCTTTGCTTCGCTTGTCTGAAAAACGCGATAATATAACGCCTTTCCTGCATGCAGGCTAACTTTTGTTAAGCGTCCTTACTTTGTTTTGTCATGTTTGTTTGTTCTTGCAGAGAAAACTGTAAATACGGGCATGGTGCTCTTCTTCCAGAGACAAGAAAAAGCTCAAGTCTGCGTTTCCCGTTAAGAAAATCACTGAAAATTGACAAGGTAAGTTGTGCGAAGAGACAGCATTACCTGCGCGTTAGAGGCATAAAAAGTATGGGGTGCGAAATAGGCACACATTTCCCGTGCAACCGTTACATAGGCTGAAGACATCCGTATAGAAAAGGTCTTTTCATTGGCTCTCTTTTCAATAGTCTTACTTCAGGTTTTACTTCAGGCAGTCGTTTATAGTTGTTCAAACTTTCAAAAAAGATGGAGCAACGATATTGTACCATGATAATAAACAGCTCCTGGGGTTACGATCTGCCGCTCAGTGACTTGTTTTGAATAGTTTTTCTGCTAGTACAATTGAACCCCCATTAAGCGGCCACCCTCAGTTAAGCGGCCTGTAATCAAAGTCCCGAAATAAGTGTAGAAAAGAATGGGAAATTAAACCTCCTCATTAAGCGGCCGTGGTCACCTTTGGGCCGTCCCAACGAGAGTTCTCCCATTGTTGTCACCTCAATTAAACGGCCATCAAGCGCTTGATACACTTAGTTTCGCTTCATTTCAAGAATAAGATGAAGGAAAATACACTGGGACCAAGACAGAAGGTGACGACCGATTGTGCACCAGTAATACTCCTCCGTCGTTCGTTTGTCGCAAAATTAATTGATGTTTCTGCTAAAGATTCTGCTAATTTATGACAAACCTCTAACAAGCGGCCAACCTTTATTAAGTGACTACTTGCCGGTACCCCGAGGGTTGCCGCTTAATGTAGGTTCAACTGTATTCTAGAATTTTTCTGAAGCAAATAATTAACTGCGAAGCTTATGTCTCTTTTCAGCTCAAGGTCCATACAATGGATCTTATAGGAATCCTGGAACATTTGTTTGACAAACTCAAAGTCGATCCAACAAAACACAAGGTACAAAAAAACTGCATCAGAATCACTTTGCATTTGTGGGTCACAGCCAGGCACCAGTGCTTCTTGCTATGGGCCATTTTCAAGTTGAGCCTGAGACTGGGTGGGAGGTCTCTCGAGTTACACTCTGGGACCGTTTTGGGGAGGCTTCTTTCATTCGTCAATTTAGAAACGAGAAGAAAACTGGGCCGAGTTAGCTTTTGCAAAGAATTATGGGACTGTTATTAGGGACAGAGATAACGGCACGTTTCCAGTAACTATCCTAGAAACAATTGTGGGACGCATTTCGGCTCAAGTTCACTTCACGTTTCTTAAGTAGCGAAACTGGCTTTTTCAAAGTTGCGTAGGAAACTGGGTCCGACTTCGTCACCCAAACAGTCCGATAGTACTATTCAACAATTGCAGCATCGATCCTGTTTCAGGCCCGTTAGCTCTAACTGGCCAATTGGAACAGAAATGATAATGTTTGTTCCATTGCAGGTGATAATGACATTACCGCATGGCTCAGGGCCACAGGAAAAGGTAGGCAAACAAGTTTTAGAGGTGGAAACTTCTAAACAGAGGAGAAAAATTCTAGGGTTTATCAGTGGCACATTCTGGATACCCTGCGGAACATTTTCATCCTTTTGTTAGAGATTCTGACATTCCCTAGCCTGCGCCTCTGCTCGCCGGGGAGACGCTCACGACACCGAGTTTCTACAATGTACCATCCCATGTTCACGCTATACAAGACACAGGCGGTCCAAACTCACGTTACGAAAAAAGGGCGTAAAATAATTTAGATGCCACAGGTGACTTTTGTCTTTGGTACCGATGATGCTTAACTAGACGCACTATCACCTGTAATTTTGTACTGTTCATAATGGCCGATATTTATCTTATGGTTGTATTTTTTTCTTATCTGTAACACAGGAGGAGCTTGTGGAGATATTGTTGGATCACTTCCAAGTAGAGGCTTGTTACCTCCAGGAACAGGCTGTGTTGGCCATGTACTCTTACAGTGCTATTTCAGGAATAGTTGGTGAGTTGTACAGTTTTATGCTGCATCCTCTTAGACTATGAGCAGTCGCTCTTTTTTCTTAATCCATCGAGCATAACGCGCAAGAGACGAAAATGATCACGTGCGTGGCGCATGGCACGAGGCGAAGAGAGACTGCTCGTAGTCTAACATCCTCTTGAGCAGGGTTGTCAAAAAGATTTTAGGTAGCAGGAGAATAACAGAAAGTAGCCAGCATGTGTTTCCCGGCGGGGCCGGTAGGGGAAGACATATCACTATTGATATAAACAGTTCAATCCAGGTTAGTAGCAGCTGTCAAACATGATAGCATCGATACTGCGTCTGAATTACCAAGTGAAACTTTGGTGGAAGCATGCAAAAGTGGAAAGTGAGAGGCAGTAAAATTAAATGCAAATCAGAAATAAATTGGTTCGATCAGGAATGCGAAACAGGAAACCTGCAGTCCCTTGGGGACAAAATTTCTCATAACTTTAATAATTAAAAACTGAGACAACTACTGCGAGACAAAAAGAAGAGGTTCAAACAAACTTGTTGACTGAAGAAACGGGAGTCTATCAGCAAAGCCATGTCTAATATCGATATGCAGAAATCGAAAGGGACCTGGCGACAGATAGGAAAAATCTTTAACTTAGGAAAAAGGAAAACACATCAAACTGAAACATTGAGTACGGAACAGTTTTATAAATACTTTTAGCAACAGAATGCGACCCCTCTCAATAATATAATAGAAACGGAGATGAATATTGAAACCCACAGTAACGAAAGAGTAGAAGGCCCAGTTGATTATCCAATAACTGATGAAGAGTTCAAAGCCGCAATTAACAAACCGAATGCAAAAAAATTTCCAGGTATCAATAATATAATTATTAAAGGAAGCAATAAGAATCGGAAAGGAAGCCATTAAAGGGCATTAAGTAAATTTATTTATTCCAATCTTACATACTGGCAAATACCCTGCTCTTTAGAGTTTTAGCCTCATTGTACCTATTCATAAGAAGGATGATCAATCCACTAAGAATGTGTCTCCCAGGTGGGGGAAAACACATCACTAAGGATATGTGTTTCCCAGGTGAGGGAACACATATTACTAGGGATAAGTGTTTCCCAGGTGGGGGAACACATATCACTAGGGATATGTGTTTCCCAGGTGGGGGAACAAATATCACTAGGGATAAGTGTTTTCCAGGTGGGGAAACACATATCACTAGGGATAAGTGTTTCCCAGGTGGGGGAACACATATCACTAGGGATATGTGTTTCCCAGGTGGGGGAACACATATCACTAGGGATAAGTGTTTTCCAGGTGGGGAAACACATATCACTAGGGATAAGTGTTTCCCAGGTAGGGGAACAGATATCACTAGGGATATGTGTATCCCAGTTAGATAAGGTGCTTCACGTATAGTAACATATCGATTACGATTAATACAATTTCTTTTTCTTTTTTCATTTTTACAACTTTGTTAATCGTCCATTTTTTTTGCTTCTTTTTAGCAATATGTTTGGCGCCAAAAACCTTAAGGTAGCCGGTGATAGCGCCGGTTTGCGGCGCATTTTGACATCACATCTCTGTTCTTGAGTGGGAACTCCCCTTAAAAATAAAGGTGGCATCTTCGTTTCTCAAATGGTGTCCATGATTTGATTTGTAGTTTGGTCCTAAACTTCTTTCGTCTCCAGAGCTTTTCAGCTAGAACTTGGGAGGGGCGGAAAAGACCTGGGTATGAGGTTGACTCTCCTTTGTAGCCACCTAACCCATCCTGTATCCTCTCCTTTTGTAATCAATCATGTTTTACACTGAGTTAAAAAAATATTGTACTTATTCTTTTTTTTGTTATCATTTTCAGTGGATATTGGGGATCATATCGACGTTATCCCGGTAGTTGAAGGTAAAAATCGCGTTTTATGTTTTCCTTAAGCTCACATCAAGTTACTAAAATTATCAATTTGTTTTTTATTCAACAAAAAAGAGTATTAATGGGAAACCTTTTCCAGAAATTGGCACCCAAATTTCTGACAGTTAAGGAGAGTCAAAGCTACTACCTGTAGGAATTTTTTGGTTTTTTTTTGCTGCACGTGCAAAGTTGCTTTTTTGCTAATAAGACCTATTGTTGTTTTTCACCGTTCTCCGGCGTGGCTTTCGCCGCTTAGCATTACACGATTCTATATTTCGTTTGAACAAACTTTAATTATTATCGAGAGCTTCGTTTTTAGCCCTGGCTAAATCTATATATTACTAAACCGTAAAATATTATAACTCAATGCAGGGTGTATGATTGAATCTGGGACTACAAGGCTTCCATACGGAGGAAAGCAGATTACAGACAGTTTTACAAGACTACTGACAGAGAAGGGAGTACGGTAAGACACAGCCAAATAATAAGTTGTTTTTAATTTGGCGTCATAGCAGCTACTTAAAGTAATTACTTTGGCCAACGAACCAACAGGAGCTGCAAGCAAACACCTCTATCTACAATCTTGGACAAAGCTGTTGCGAAAATTGTATACATGGGGAGCATTTTCTACACATCGTAACCGTACCGATTCTCCCCTCCCCCCTTCCCCCTGGAAGCTAGTATTGGTGGGTCTCCCAAAGAAAGCCGGATCCCTGAGTGTTTGTAGGAAGCCGTTGATTTGGAAATAGTTTTGTCGCTTTAGGTAGTGCGCATTGACGAAAAAAATTTCTCAAGTATTTTTGTCCCGGATTGTGGCGTGTAGTTCGAGTACACGCAAGGAAGCAGAGTCTTGTTCTGGCTTGTTGCTTGGAAAGTGGCGCCAATTTTCGCCAATCGTCAGTTCAGTTGCGAAATCTTCGCGCGTTTTTCAAAGGATGTTTTTACCCTGACTTTGAGAGGTATCTTTTTTGCGTAGTCGTGATTGCCTCGGAGATGGCCTGAAAGCGGTTAAGCACGTAAAGAAAAGCTTCCGGCATCCACTCTAGATGCGTTCTTCTGATAATTTTCCTTTTCTTTTTTCGATGTTAGGTTTTTTTCAGAAGTGGAATCCTACATCTCTAGAGCCATCAAAGAAAAGGTATTAAAGCCTCCACAACCTTGCGAAAACTAACGAATACGACCCTCCTTTCTTTACAAACCACGCCTGCAGGTCTCATTTGGTGAGAGTTCTTGACACATATTTTCTCTTTCTTAATGTCTTACCCACTCTTGGTTTTCAGGTATCGTTTGTCGCGAGACAAGTAGATCAAGAAGAAGAAGAAGTAGATTGTTCAATGGTCGTGGATTTGGGAAAGTACTCTATTCCTGGCGGAACGAGGTATCTTTTTACACTTGGCTTAACTGGTGTAGTTTGGAACTGTGTATCGCTGATAGTTTTGCGTTACCCTTGCCTAAGAATTCTCTATGCTTTTCCGCTGGCTAGAAATCGCTGGTAAACCAACCATTCTAGTTGATATAAATGTAAAAGGACATTCGCTTGAAGGTTGAATGTGTTAGTGAACCAAAATTTGCTCCAAACGTTTTAAAAACGGGCTAAACTTTCTGGAAGATGTTGCCTAGGTGTTACTTGACTAATCTGTGTTTTGAACAGGGTTCTTACAGAGTCCTTAATTCTTGAAAAAGTCTCCAAATTTTCAGACCAGTTTTCCAGGCCTGGAAAAAGTTTCAAACGTAAAGATGAAGTCTATAAAAGCGGGGGGAAAATTGGCTTTTTAAAAAAAGACTGCACTGATTGGTTTAAAAAAATTTTAACCAATCAGAAGTCTTTTAAAGCTGGTGTCCTTATCAGTCTAAACGCTTTGTCACATTATTTCTTCTCCTTTTTCAAGGGAAGTGACCGTAGACTCTGCAAGACACCGCTGTACCGAAGGACTGTTTAAACCGTCCGTCTGGGGTAAAGATAATCCGGGAATTCATGAGTTGACAGTCAAAGCCATCATGGCCTGCAGTATTGACATGCGCAAACAAATGTGTCGAAATATCTACCTGAGTGGGGGAGGGTCCATGTCTCCAGGTTTGTTTTCGAAAGTTTATCATAACTAGAAGCGCGTTTGCGGGTGACATAAATGAAATCCCAACCAAGAATTATCAACCCCTCTGACGTTTTAGTTGCGTTATAAATTGGAGCAGCATTTCTTCGTTTTGTGATAGAGCACGTGTCTGTTTTTTGCGTCATGAAACATTGAAATGTAAACCGGAGTTGTTTCACTCAAGGAATTTTTGAATACCTTACTTCACAGTCAGAGCAGATGATGAAAACCCATTACCCCGGTAGTACTGTGTCTACAGTACTGTCATCTGCATTTATTACGAGTGACAGCGCGTTAGATTTTAGGTTTGTTTTTAAGGTTTTTCTTCTCATAAAATTCGTTAACTCCGCCTTAGGCTATTACTCCATTTCTACTCAGTGCTCGTAGAACTTCACTACCTGAAAACTTTTAGGTGTCAATAGAGAGGAGAAGTCGTTACGTCACGTTGCCATGGTAGCAAACCTTCTGGATCGCAACAAACCGTGGTCCTGCAAATATGGCAGAAAAAAAACGAACAAATTGACATGACGTGTATTACTTATACTCAGGAACAAACGGGTAGCCCATACAATTCTTCCATCGTTCGACAATGCAATTAACCGTCTCTGTCAAGAAAGATTGTTAAAATCCAGACCATGGTACCATGGTAACGTGACGTCACACTTCTCCTCTATACTATCAGAACTTTGCTGAGAAACTACTTGCTATCATCAGAGAACGAAATGATTGCACCGTGTGCATGTTTTGTTATCTGTTTTTGACTCCTGAATTGTTTTCGCTTGATTATCGTTATTATTATTTTGTCATTTTAAGGTCTCGCTGAACGGCTCCAAGCGGAAGTAAGCCAGCTTACGCCTTTCAACTCACACGTGCAGGTAAGAAATAACAAGAAACGTGAAAAGAACAGTAACGATAAGATATATGATGATCTTTGATTCAGAGTTAAAAGTTGATTGCACTGTAGTGCTGAAAATTGTACTTCATCCGTCTTGTTTTGACATCCGCCTAGAATGCGCAAAGGGGACGTATGAAGAATGAGACGCCTCACATCTCCCCAAATCCACCCTTTAACCCTTTAAACCGTAAGATCAAAATTGAGATTCTCATTTACTGTCCCTATACTTGTTCAATAGAAGTAGTGGGGAGAATTTGTTGAAGTATCAATTAGACTCATCTTCCCTGATCATATACTCAATTCTCATGACCACTCTGTTTTCTAAAGCATTGATATTATAAGGAGAAATTTGATGCTGATCACTCTTAGGGCTTAAAGGGTTAATGCTAGGTCATAATAGGGAGCTTAAGCAGCGACGTTTTTGAGCGACGCACGTCAACCGGAAGTGAGGTATTTTCCCTCTTAACATGCCTTGATGATATAAAATTTGTATTCCTTAGCTTCTTTACTGTTATAGAGGCGATTTGACTGAAAATGTGCGCAAAACCACCGTCAAAAAATGAAAAAAGGCCACTTCCGGTTGACGTGCGTCGCTCAAAAACGTTGTTGCTTAAGCTCCCTAATAGTTTTCACTTGCGACGCAAACACAAGCATAAGTGTCTCGCGTCAAGTGAATTGAAACGAGCACAAACACCTGAAAAGGAAATATCGTGATTTAAGTGCGCTTGAGCCGTTTTTACGATGAAGTAAGGACTCTGATGTTTTTGCCAGTGCCCTGTCTTGTAGAAATCTCTCTCTCCCCACCGCGTATCGCCTTTTCTCGCGTGGGGTGATTTTCACGCGCGCTCGCGTTTCGCTCACTCAGGAAAAATGGGGGACTACTCGTAGACTACCTGTCTTGTGTTTCAGTCGCCAGTGGATAGCGTTATCCACTCGATAATCCACGATCCAGCGGATACGTGTTAGGGAAACAAACTGCGTCATCTTATGGATAGAAACTTATCCAGTGGGTAGCGTCGATTTTTCTCCTGTTGAACAACTGAGGCCATGATATTAACTCTTGCTATCGCTTTCGCTGTTTTTTATTTGTCGCTTGGTTGAGAAAAAAACATTTTTCTTTTTATTCTACGGGTCGCAAAACGCAAACGCGCATGCGCAAATCTTTCACAGCAACATTTCTTCACCTGCTTAACGGTCTGTTTTTCGTTACCTTGGAAACCAGGTTCACGCAGGAGTTGAACGTCAGTACGCTGCGTACATTGGAGCCTCAGTGGTTGCCAAGCTCCCTCTGTTCACGGAACTGTGCGTGTTTAAAGAGGACTGGGATGAAATTGGTCCAGACGCTCTTGAAAAATGGCTAACGTTATAACTGGCTGTTGTTTCCTTGCGTAAACGAATGTAGAGACATATCATAACAACGTAACACTGCTACTCGTGAGATCAAAATTGAAGACAGATAAGCCCTTTATGAAAGACAGAAACAATGGACTTTTTCAGCGAAGGTGATTTTTTTGGGATCTCTTATAACTGAGAGGTCCCCAGTCGTTTCACTAGAACTTCGTTTCGCTACAAGTCATTTCGTTGCATTGTGATGTTGATTTGCTGCAAAATATTTTTTTCGTTTGGCTGTATACTAAAGTAAATTTTCTTCATAATAAAAGTTAAGTCCCTTCATACCATCAGTTTATGGTAATGATATTTTCGTGGGATCCTTCTTCCAAAATAATTTTTCTCCACGTAGTTTTGGGGGGAGGAGTGGGGGGGGTGTCTGTGTTTGCCACATTTTCGGAGTTTTCTAGACACTCTATCCGGACAATATGTGGCGAAACGACCTTGCAGAGAAACGACTTTGTCGGGAAATTACCGGTAAATCTTATAGTGACTTTCTAAACCATATAAACAATTTTTTTCTTGCAATCTGCAAAGAACCCAAACGCGTACTATTGTCTTTAGATTGAATGCTCAGACAATTTATATCGGCCTTATAGTGCATAAGTTAAGACATCGACATGGGATTTGTCCGTTAAAAAACGAATTTTGAGCTCAAGAACTAAGATTAATTTCCACAACCGGCCGAATTTGTTCAAAAACAGTAGTAAGGTTGCGGTTTTGTAATGCATTAAGGCAATGTAGTTGGTGTCATAGGACGAATAAATTTTTTGGATAGTGATCTTTGTCGCTTGTGTGCATGTCGTATTCGGTTTTTATTTGGAACTCCTCCTGCATGAAAGCTTAATGTGTGACCTTCGAAAAGACACATTGTTTAATAACTATTTCGATTTTGAAAGACTAGGAAGTTGTATCTCTGGAAGGGGGACCATTATTTCCCAAACGTGGTAATGGCATCATCGTTTTACCCGGGCGATCTTCCTGTATTCACAGCTATGAGTAAGTTAGCTGTACTAAAAGAGAATATTCTCTCTTTCTGTACCCACACGTGACTACTGGTATCCGTATCAGAACAGGCTATATGTATAAGGAACCAAAACAGCTGAGAACTCAGCAACCAAGATCCAAGAATGGACACGCAACCTCGTTCCTAGAGAAAGACTCCCTCTCTTGTTCCGCGGGCACAACTAGGAGAAAACCCCGGGAACGAGGGTGATGAATATGGCTGCGTCGACTGCGTCGTTCAGAGATTCAGGTCAAGCACTAGCCCTTGGTAACCTCTCATACCCGAGTCGTTCTGACGATAGGCTGGAAGTAGATATGAATGTTAATTTCCCCGATTATGTCTAAAATTTAAATGAGTTACATCCTTGTGCTTTGTCGTGGCGATTTTAGTGAACCTATATTTTTCACTGAGGAAAACTGTGAAAATAAAACTTTCTAAAGAGGCCCTTCATCTGACTCTCTTTTACTCATTTCCTAATTTCTCTATTTCAGAATTCAAGGAAAAAAAACTATGTTCGTTACATTGGCTTCCTGTCAAATTTCGTGTTGATTTTAAAATACTCCCTCTTACTCCTAAAGCCTTTCTACGGTCCGTGGGCCTGGTTACTTGATTGACTTGATTGCTATTATAGAACAGCTGCGCTATGATCTCCGTTCAGCCAGCGGTCTTATCTTAAAGACTGAACAAGATTTTAGTGGATCGTGCCTTTTCATCTGCGGCCCCCGAATTCATGTAACAATCTTCCCCTTCACTTCTTCTTGACGACAATTTTGAATGTTTTAAATCTTTACTTGAAACGCATCTTTTTAGACTAGCTTTTCATATGTAATGTTTTTCACCCGCTTTGTAATATATTTAGTCCTTTAATTTTTATTTAAATTTTTAACGTTGTTTACTTTTTAGCCTTAATTGCTATGTTCATTTTAGCTTTTATTTTCTTTTAACATTTAAAGCATCAGTTGTTCTCTTCTCCCTTCCCATCACCCCCTGCTCCCGCCGTGCGTTACGCGCGAAGACGACTGGGGACGAGTCAATGTTTATTTTTTCGTTGAAACACTATTGAAGTTGAGATAGCTTTTGATCTGTTCGATCGTTTTTTCTCTAGCTCTCTCCCTCTCTCTGTGGAGTCTATCTTTCTTCCCCTCGCTGTGAAAGTAAATTACCTAGAGAATTCTACTCAGCTACAGCGTCCTTATTTAAAATAAATATTTTCAGCGGTTTCTTAATATAACTGGATGACCGTTTATTAAGCTTTCCAGGCTTCATAAACAATCATGCGTCAATAAAGAAATAGAAATATGAGTTTTCATCGAAAAACTGAGACAGGTGTAATAAGACTTGCGTAATTTTTTAAACAAGACTGAATATATGCAAAGTGCGAATTTTTCATACTGTAAGGCAGAAGGTCAGAAATTTGCTCACACCTTAGTATATGGATTTGGTTGAGTTCATGGGGTTTTTTTAAGCTCAGTGCGGTTGATGGATTATTTACAAGGTGTTAACAGGTAACGGTAACTACGGCAGGACATCGTGGTTTCGCCATCTGCTTAAGTTATAAGCCATCAAGTGATGAAGTCGCTCCGTATGTCATATGAACAGAAGAAGTTAATGCGGTATTTTTGACGAGCCATTCCGCCCTTGAATTCAAAACTGTTTCCAAAAGTTAAGTGAAATTGTAACTCCATCTTGTAAATTACCAATAGGTTCTTTACAAACTCCATACCATGTCTACAACAAACACGGCTAGCGGAAATTGGCGGTATAACTTGGACAATATTATGTACATTGTCAACAGCTTCTTGTCCTATTCCAGCATTATGCTAAACATTGTAGCAATACATGCCCTCAGAAAGACATTTTCGCTACCAACAACGTTAAAAACATTGCTTCTGAGCCTCGCTATTTCTGATCTTGGTGTAGGATTGTTTGTCCAACCTTGGCGCATCGCAGGTTTGGCAATGGGGTTACTTCAACACGAAGGAGAACGAAACATTATCGTGTATAGAGCTTACAAAATAACGATGAATATATTTTATTATGCCTCATTCCTTGGTGTCATGTCTCTAGCAGTGGAGAGATTCTTGGCCATTCATCTTCATCTCCGATACCAGAGACTTGTGACTCACAAGCGTGTTGTTACCATAGTGTTCTCACTTTGGGTTATAAGTGTGTTCCTTTCGTTGTTTATGTTTGAAATTCGGAAAGTCCGCCTTGTTATTTATACCACTGTTGAAGTTTTTTGTCTCATATCTACTGTATTGTTATTCGTGAAGATTTATTTAACTGTTAGACGACACTCAAGGCAAATACAATCTATACAACCCGCGGGAGAGCAAAATAGTGTCCCGCGAAGGAAAAAATCTGCCGTTGCTACGTTTTACGTGTACCTTATGTTTTTGGCGTGTTACCTACCACAAAACTGTCTACAGATAGCGGCTATCTGCCATGAATCTCAAGATACCCTGTATGATAATTTTGAAATCTATACTTTGACGCTGGTGTTTCTTAATTCGTCTCTCAATCCACTGATATACTGTTGGAAGATGAAACAAATTCGAAAGGCTATTTTGAACGTTCTGCGAAATATGAATCCAAGACACATTTAACGAAATCAATAAGGAAACTCAAAATCGAATTAGCAATGTAAGGAACGTTTTTTGTTATACTCTGCTAAACTCGTTGTAGAATGTTCCAGGCGTGCGGATAGTGGAGTGCGGCGCTAGGGAAGAGAGCGAGAAAAAAATCACCTTGTTTCTTTTTCTGCTCGCATCTCTTTGCGCTATCCCCACGATCTGAACGCCTGGAATTGGCTAAACTTGTTGTGATTATTAACTTTGACTAGAACAGAAAACATCGGTAATCCCTCACAGCTACAGTCTTATTACAATGGGAGTGGGGTTGGTTTTAAAAAAAACCCTAAGCATTTTTCTATGTTCAGTGCCCCCGCAGGGATTTCGCCCAGAAGGCGAAATCAAAGAGGAATCCTGGTAGCTCATGCGTATATAAAGGAAAGTACTTGCAGTTAAAATATGCAGTCGGTCTACCAGAAAAATCTCGATTTGCCTGAACAGGGGCCGCGCGGAATCATTGGGTAATGATGACGTTTCAATGCTGAAGGCTGCACGCCCGCAGTAAGAAATGGTTAGGATGACGTAAAACAGAAAATTCCCAAAGGGACCGGGGTTGTCATTTGTTACCTACCACAAAACTCTATTGTGGCAGCCCTGGTCTGCCATTCCAGAGCCAGTAAACAGGGTACCGGTAGATTGATTGAGCATTTATTATTGTATACTATGACGCTAGTGTATGTAAATCCACTAATATACCGTTGGAAAATGAAACCCAGACGACAATCTATCATGAGCATTCTACGAAAAATCTTTTCCAGTTACAACTTATGAAAACCGCTTATAGTGTTCTCTGTTCTATATAGACTAAAACGGAGTGTGCATTTCAACTAAAAGCGTTGTACATGCATACACATGTATACTTTATTTAACCTCGAATTTACAATAGCTAAAAATAAGCTAGTATCTTCGAGTTACAAGTATAGTTCTAAATCAGGGCCGTACCTAGGATTTTTTGTCTGCGGGGGCAAACTCGGTTTTCGTGAGATTTCGGACCAATATAGCTACAAGAAACAGCCCAGCAAAATCAGACACTATGTTAGAAAAAAAACATTTAGTTTTCCTGGCGGGGGCAACTGCCCCCTTCGCCCCCCCGCTATGTACGGCCCTGTAAATACTACTAAAATTGTAAAATTACAACATTCTAAAACTTTAAACTACTAAAACGAGCCATACTGTAGAATCTTGCGCGAGAAATCAGAAAAGTTAGGTGTTCTAAAAGAATCCGGAAGAGAGGTCAATAGTTTAGAAGCCATGTTCGAAAAGGAGTGAAGAGATTAGGGAGTAGTTTTCGGAGACGGTAGAGACAACACATAATTCCAGCTTAGACTATAGGATGTGGACCGGAGAATAAACATATATTTCTTAGATAGCCTGGGTAGCAGGTTTTTATGCTTAGTAAATATCTTAATTAACACATGCGTTTGAGAAACTATTTATAATAATGTGGAAGCTATAAAAATTAATAATCACCCCTCTGCGGGGCTTTTGCACGTAAATAGTCTTATTAAAAAATGAACGAACTTTGTCACAGATTTGTCCTACAGTGGAACCCCGTTAATACGGTCATCAATGGGTCAAAAAAATTGTCTGTATTAAAGGGGTGACCGTGTTATAGGGGCAGGCTCAAATTTCATGACTTGAGGGCCGTAATGACAAAGTACATTTAAATTTTCTAAATTTTGAACAAGTGGCCGTATTAATGGGGTGAAATGACAAGATATTCTACTGTTTGAGATTTTAAAATGTGTCCGTTGGTCGTGTATAACGGGTGACCGCATTAACCGTGGTTTTTTTAAGGAAATGTAGGGCCGTTTTACCGGGCCGCAAAAAAGTGGCCGTAATAAGGAGGTGACTGTAAGGCGGGGTTCCACTGTAATTTGTAATAGCTATGTTGAAGGCGCTGTGACGTCACGGTTGACGTCACGGCCCCTCTAATTTGTAAAACTGCGTCATACTTTGCAATAACAAAGCAACAGTAATAAAGCAAGAAATGGCAAGATTTGTAATAACTTTGCGTATAAATCGTAATTTACGGATTGTTGGTTATCCATCTTCATCTTAGATACCATAGTCTCGTGTTCTTACTTTTGTGTTCTTAAGTTGGATAGTGCGTGTTTTGCTTCTGTGAATTGCCCTGTCGATAAGATAATCCGGCGATATAAACCATTGGTAAAGTATTACGACAGGCTTTCGTAAGAAGGAGGATCAAAGGAAGGAGGCGGAGCATCTTGCTGAGGAATGCCATAAGGTGCAGGGTACTGCACCTGTAAGGGCGGGGCCAAAGGAGGTGCAGCAGGATCGTACATGAAATATATACTATCGATATCAACTGGATCATATCGGCTGTCATCATCGTCTGCATGCCTGGCGGAGACATCAGCTGCCACTACTGCATGCCAGCCGCGACTTGCGAGAGCGCTGATTAAATGACACAGCATACTTCTGGCGTGGATTCCGTCATGGCGACCTTCCTCCCCCGGAGTCCAGGGCTTGCCCTTCAGTGAGAACTCCATGTTGTCAACATGTTGCTGCACCCATTGAGTTCCAGGGGTGTATTGTGATCGGATGACCTCTTTGCATAGCTAGATAAGTATAACAAGAATATAGGGGATAAAATAATTTCGCCTCTTAAAGAATGGCCTTAAAATCAAATTTCTTGGGAAAAACCCCAACCGGCTCATTACATGTCTCCATGAAGTACAAAAGCTTTTACGTTTCCGTTTTTCTTTTGATTGATTTAACAGCGAACGTTATATATCATCTACGATGTGTCTTGCTGCTCATTCGTGCCTGTGGTAAAATTGTGTGTAATGGCCACAAATTTTCACTTTCACTACTGCGCTCTAGTCTTTTGGATGGAAATTAACGATAATCAAAACAGATCATGAAGCTTCCTTTGATCAATTAAAAATGCCCGGTAATTCAATAACACCGAACAATCTGGGCTCAAACTAAATCTTCTAGAAAATGTCAGAAAAACGTTTTACCACGAAACAGATAAAGTTTGACAATTTTTTAAAGTCCATACGGGTTCGAACCAATTAAATAGGGAGACATGTATCAGGGGCGGATCCAGGATTTTTTTTAGGAGGGGGTGCACTCGTCTCTTGCTATACTTCAACACCAATAAACCAAATAGTTTTTTTTATGCAGAATACAAGTTGTATTAGAAAACCGTAAGTCATCTCGGGGGGGGCCCCCCTGCACCCTCCCCCTAGATCCGCCCCTGTGTATTGTAGGTACAAAATACTATTGGACGGGGGTTGCATACCTTCATGATGTCGTCTGATGTATTGATCAGCCAAAGATTGTTATCACCATTGACGCTCAGACAGAAAACTGAGGTTTGTCTCGACTGGGACTGTCTAAAAAGCAGAGAGCTCTTATCGGACACCTTCTTGGAGCTGTCAATTGCAGCAACAAGGCCCCACCCAAAAGGTAGGAGAGCTTCCATCACTTTAATGACCAGAAGTTTGGATTTTACTCCTTTGCTTCCAGAAGCACACCATGGGCTTCCTCGTAGCTTGAACTGCCAACTATCTGCGTAACGGGATTCTTCCTCAATGCCTTTTGGCCAAACAGACCGGATGGTACTTCGGATGACGGAAACGAAATCGTCGGGAGCACCGATGACCCTCAGTAAGTCGGAACTGTTGAAGCTGATCGTGAACTGCTCCGGAGGCGACTGCCCTTCTGGTATTAAGTTTGGGTGGTAATCAAAGAAAAAAGTGTTGCTGTCACTTCGGATGTTGGAATTTCCATATAAATTCCATTGTTTCAGTATCAGATCACTTATAATTGTCTGCAACATCGCTTCTGAATGAACCGCGTCTGCGCTCTCTGAAAACCATGGAAAGCCTTTTAACTTTATCATCAGTACATTATTCTTGTAAGTCCATTTCTGTATTCCATTTGGCCATGATTTTTCTATGGCATCTTTAAAGACTTGGTGGAGCTCACTTGGCGCATTGAGTACCATTAAACTGTCAAAACCACTCAACCCAACAACAAGAAATGGCTGAGGTGAAAAATCTACCAGTGGTGGAACTCTCTTGAAAATCCACGTCGTCAGATCAAGTCTCTGATATATGTTGCACGATAGGTGAAGCCTCCATCCATTCCTGTACAGCATATACAACATTCTTTCCGCCATTCTTCTACATCCTAATGCATCGTTTGACGAAGTCGCAGCGCTAAAAGGATTGCCTTTTAACTTGAACTCGTAAACTCCATTGAGCTTAAAAGCTTCTTTTTGAATGCCCTTGGGCCACGCTTCTTCTATAACCTTGCGCATAATAGCTGCCTCCGATTCACCTCCACAAATAAGGTGAAGAGTATCTCCACCATAAAGAGCTACACACATGTATTGAAAGCCTTCTGGTCGAGGAGGCAATTCGAGGTTGCTACTTTGATTATCCGCCATATTCTACTGCCTATCGATAAGACAAAAAATTTATAAACTTTACCTCTTACATGCATTTCACCACGCAATGATTGCGTATAAATGTTCCCATAATGATGATAATTAAACAGATCATTTTATTTGCTAGTTGTTTTTGAGTTACGGTCAAGCCTGCAATCTTGGACAAAATAAATGGAAAACCTAGACTCCCCCCCTCCCCACCAAATCAAGGATGGGAAAATGGCGTATTTTTGCCCTTCGCGCGGCTTCATCCTTGATTTAGGGGAGGGGGGGTGGGGTATGCTGTTCCATCTTATTTTGTCCAAGATCGTGGCTTAACGGACACCCGCTTCATACGGACCCCTCATTATTACGGACAGTTTGCTTTGTCTCTGGGAAAAGAAAGGCCTTACATTTTCTCTAAATTCAAAACGCTTAATACGGACACTTCCCATGGCCCCTTCAGTGTCGGTTTTAACGGGATTTGACTGTATTTCCTCGAATAACCACCCACTTAAGCTCGATTACCAGCCGCTGTTCGGGAGATGAGCCCACTCTCCTCCCCCGAACAGAAGGCTGGACGCCAATCTCGTATCCAGAGTCTTCTGGCTTTTTGGTTGGCGGGGCAACGCCACCAAAGGGTAGGTACTTCATATATTATTCCAGGAGCCCATCATTTGTTGCGCTCGTGATTATTCCTTTAGTGTACCGAGATAAGCCAGTCTCAGAAGACTCTGGGTACTAAATTGGCGGTAAAATTAAATTTTGAATTTACGTCACAGACACGATAGGCCACTCACGCGTCCAGCCGTCCCTTCTCGGGGAGGACCGAGAGTGCGGCGGAAATCAAGCCTACCACCCACTCCTCGTCGATAGTAGTACCTGCAGTTTTTGCAAAAGCCTCTCCTCATCTCTTTTCCGTCCTTATTAGTGAGAGTATTCAGTTTAGACTGTTCACAGTCCCCTATTTTTCCGTGTGATCGTCGAGATCGAGCGCGTCTTACCGTTAATGGCGGCCATCTTGATTTTCAGTCGTACCGAGGGGGCGGGCGTCGGGGATTATAGCTCCCAAACCGTCCCCCGCCCCCTAAGTAGATTTGATACTCTTCCCCAGGTTAGACTCGGTACGACTGAAAATCAAGATGGCCGCCATTAACGGTAAGACGCGCTCGATCTCGACGATCACACGGAAAAATAGGGGACTGTGAACAGTCTATATTCAGTTCGACGAAAGCTGCATTCCTTTCTTACTGTTACTTGGCTACACCGGTATCAATCTAGAAATGTATTTTTCACTGGTATTCCAAGTAATTAGCCCCACTTGTTTTCTGTTTCATAACTGCCGCACCCCATGTTTCTTGTGTGTCTGCTTGTTTGTATTTCGGGAATTTAAGAGTAAAATGCATTTACGTTCGTCTGAGCGAAGTGAATTAGAACGTGAGGACAATTTTTCGGGCGTTTCTTTCTTCAGCTCTGGATACTGGATCCAAAGCGGGGGGAGGGGGTCCGGAAAACCTTATAACCAAACCCTCACTCCCGCAACCCCCTTCCCCCCCCCCCCCGTCGATTATCTGCCTCTTTTGAATAGACGCCCGGTCGGTACACCAATGCGGGGTAAGTTAAGTTATTTTGCAAGTTATTTTGAAAGGACGGTGCTAATATTGTTCAGCATATCATTGTTTGCATAATTAGCCAAAACACTTTCTGACAGGAAACCTTGAGGGGAAATACACATTAGATCGTGACAGCGTAGCGGTGCGTGACGAAACAAACAGGCGGCATTGCGGCAAACGACCTAAACGCGTGCTAAGACTGATTACTATTTAATGTTCATTTATACGGTTCGAAAGTCGAACTTTACATATACGTACTCAACTCATTTTTATTTAGGTTGACTTTTCTTGACACCTTATATTGGTGCGTGCCTGACAAACTTACTGGTGGCGTAGGAAACGTACAGAAGACATAATTCATGCTTCAAGGTTTCGAAATGAATAAACCTTATCAAATTCATTTATATACGGGGAGAGCCCACCCTAATATCCGCACTATCAAACTACTTGTGGTTATGGCGGTATAAAAACGTGTGTGTGTTTTGAAACGTGTACTCCGTGGAGTTGACGGAGAACCGATAGTGTCGAACATAAATAAATGAAAATGTCCTGCAAAATGTCTTCAGGAATAACTGTTTCCGGCTTCTATTATTCCTGAGTTTAAACCCAGCATTATTTTTTGCCCTTTTGGACCTGCTTAATTTTTTCCGTTTCAAGATGCAACTGCTATTGCAATGCTTGCTAGTCATACTTCAGTGGGATCTCTCGAAATAAATCAGCGAATTAAAGCTATTGTTATATTAGCAATAAATGAAGGCAGAATAATATTTAACAATACGAAAGAGAATTAATATACGTATTACCTTTTGAGCTGTTTTCCCTTGTTTCCGTGCAATCAAACGTTGTCTGAGCGTATTTTTTTTTTAATTACAATATTTGCACACAACGCAGATGAAAGCGACAAAAACTTCGTTATGAGATTTTTATGCTATTACCTCAGTGACATATATAGCGGTGGCATGATGTCATGTATGTGACAAAACACTTATCTTGCGCAATATCGGTTACGAATGCCTTAATCAATTTGGCCTTCGTGGCGGGCGCAAAAAGGGGAGGGAGAGGGGGAAGGACGCCTGCTACGCAGGCTACAATCAATTCCGAAATGACCACCCCCCCCCCCCCCCCCCCGCCCGGTCATTTGTCAACAGTGTAGTACGAGGAGGCTCTGCCCCCCGAGGCCAGGTCCTGCCCCTGACCCCGGGGAGGGGTACTCCCCTACAGACCCTCTTCGGCCTTTGTAGGTCTTTATAGCCTAGGAGAGCTTGCTAGCATGCTACAGGGGTTCTGCAGGGACACCCAACTGCGGTTTCCTCCTAAGTACATTCAAAACGCTTTTTAGGCTAGCTGTCCAGAGTTCTTTTAGATCTCTAGAAATGCATTCTGATTGTAGCTCCGCCATAAAATGTGTATCTGTTCGGTCATCCTAGGGCAACTTGAGTCTTTTCGAAAAACCAAGCACTTCAGCATTATTTTCTCGAAAATTTTAGATGCAATTTAAAGTTTGACGAAAGTGAGAATTTTTCTGAATCCTTTCTCTATCAAATTTTCGAATCCGAACAAAATGGGAACGATTAAACTTCAGAAGGAATTTATAAGATACCATCTTCGAAACTTGTTGCTTGCGAACCGCAGACGTATTTCCGGTCGTCGCAAATTTTTTCTCGGCTCGGTTTTTTTCGGCAGGCAAAACTAACGCCGAAAAAACCGGATGCTCTCGAAGAAATAGCCCTTTTGTTTGTTTCGTCACGCAACGCACCTCCCCACAAAGAGGAGCTTTGCGTGACGACCTCTGTGGAAGCAGGCTGTGGAAGGTGCCCGGATATGCAGCACATACTGAGTGGAACCTGGGACCAAGAAAAAAAAACAAGATGGCGCCCGAAATTTGCCATGTTTATTGAGATCCTGGACTTTATGGTAAATCCACCGGTTGTATTCAACTTCAACAATATGGCTTAAACGGCTAACTGCTTGGTGGCTTATTCCTCCTCGTTTGGCTAATTTACATGTATACAAATGTGCCAACTTCAGCCACGGGAAGCTTTAATTACCTCACAGAGCAGCACGCGGGACGTTATTGAGCTAATATTTAAAGGTAGGCTTTCCTGAGTATGTAGAAATTTTGATAGAGACTACCTCTACAAGGTTATGCACACATTTCCTGACTTAAACTCCATATTGCTGGTAGTTGTAGTTGTATGTCATCGGGGTTTCGTGTACTGACTGTACTGGAAAATCAGGATGGGGAATTGGGGATCGGGGATGTGGGATCCCTTTTTGGGGGGAAGGGGGAGGGTGTTTCGATTGATCGCAAAATTTGCTGTCTTGTTTTTAGGGAAAAAGATGATGCCTGCAATTTCTATGCGCATGTTGCACGAAACATCCAGCACATCGCGTGATCTTAAAAGTTCCTGATGTGTTGGGTAGCATATCACTGCGACATTTGAATGCACTGGATGTTTTGTGCAAGTTTAGAGACCGATTGTTTATCACATCCCGTGGAGGGGGGGGGGGGCGTACAATTTTCAAAGAGGTTTGATTTTTGGGTGTCAATTTTGAAAATGCATAGAATGTGAGGGGGGGCGAAATATTGAGACACAGGACTGGCCTTCTATAAAACTTGTCAAACTATAATATGATTGAAGCACATCCACATTTCCTTCAAAAGAAGACAAAAAAATACACTTTGGCAGTTCTTTGTCAGCAATAAAATGTTACCCGTATAAAGCTTGACCCAGGAACCTATCAGCTATTTCTCCTACCAGGAATGTAGCGTGCATGTATGCACCACCCCTATGTATACAGCCGAAATCTGGAAAAATATATAGATTTTTTTATTTCTTGAAAGCATTTTTATCATTAAATCTGGATAAATATTTTGCATTATACAGTGAACGGTATTGTATTGGTGTTTTTGTGTTGAGATTTCCTATATTCTTTTACTGATTAAGTGGAGTGAAATGGATCCAAATGTCAAGACACAGACCTTGGTTGAGACTTTTGACCAAACCAACTCCAATTCTATCACAGAGCATATGTCACGGCTCTCATAACTTTGCCGACTTATCCTGTGTCAACATACAAAGCTGAGCGTAGCTTCAGTAGTATGGAGAGACTGCAAACTCCTTTATGAAGATGAATAGTAGCCGGGAGAAATGCCCGGTCTTTTGTGACAGTTCATTATTCAACTAGCTGCTTTTGAGGACAAAAGTAGTGTAGGGAAATCTGAAATAGGAATAAGGTTTCCCCAACACATGCTGGACTCTCAAGGACAGCAGTTCAGTTCTGATATAGGGTAGGGAAAATCACATATTTTGGTCTGAAATAGGAATAAGGTTCCCAGGACACATGCTGGACTCTTGAGGACATAATTTTAGGTCTGATATACGGTAGGAAATATTACATATTTAG